GCATGCCTACTCTAGGCACAATGAAAAAATAACTTTTTTATGGCTGGATGCGGTTACTCACGCTCGTAACCTCAGCACTTTGGGAGGCCGAGGCGGTGAATTGCTTGAGGCCAGGAATTTTTTTTTTTTCTTTTTTTAAGACGGAATCTCTCTCTGTTGCCCAGGCTGGAGTGCAGTGGCGCCATGTCGGCTCACTGCAAGCTCCGCCTCCCTGGTTCACGCCATTCTCCTGCCTCAGCCTCCCGAGTAGCTGGTACTACAAGCGCCCGCCACCACGCCCAGCTAATTTTTTGTATTTTTAGTAGAGATGGGGTTTCACTGTGTTAATCAGGATGGTCTCGATTTTCCGACCTGGTGATCCGCCCGCCACGGCCTCTGAAAGTGCTGGGATTACAAGCATGAGCCACTGCACCCTGCCAAGCTCAGGAGTTTGAGACAAGTCGGACAACATGGCAAAACCCCGTTTCTAGAAAAAATTAGCCAGGCGGGTGGTGTGGTCTGTGGTCCCAGTCACATGGGAGGCTGAGGTGGGAGGATTGCTTGAGTCCAGGAAGGGGAGGCTGCAGTGAGCTGAGACTGAGATTATGCCAATGCATTCCAGCCTGGGCAGCAGAGCCAGACCCTGTCTCAAAAGTAAATAAATACCTAACTAACAGTATTTTAAAAGAGTAATCTAAATCACACATACAAAAGAGTTTCTAAGATGTACAGCTACAATGTAAATTTTAAAAACCACACCCCTCCTAGTGAGAAAGAGTATATTATCAGTATCTTAGAAGCCCTGGATGCCCTTCATAAATTGCATCATCCAAGCTTACCCTCAGAGAAAACATTAAACTGAATTTAGTGTTTGTTTCCTCCTGCTTCTCTTTATAGTTTTACTAGTCACGTTTGTTTCCCTAAACAGTATTTTTAGGTGAGGGGTTCCTATTTTTCCCCCAAATTGAATAAATTGCATCAGTTGAATCCTATGGTATGTATTCTGTGACTTGATGCTTCTACTTTTAGAAGAAAGAAGGCCGGACGCAGTGGCTCATGCCCTTAATCCCAGCACTGGGAGGCTGAAGTGAGCGGATCACGAGGTCAGGAGATGGAGACTATCCTGGCCAACATGGTGAAACCCCGTCTCTACTAAAAATACAAAAATTAGCTGGGCATGGTGGTGCGCGCCTGTAGTCCCAGGTACTCTGGAGTCTGAGGCAGGAGAATTGCTTGAACCTGGAAGGCGGATATTGCAATGACCTGAGATAGCGCCACTGTGCTCCAGCCTGGCGACAGAGTGAGACTCCGTCTCAAAAAAATAATAATAAAAAATTTTTTAAAATTCCATTCATTTACTTTCAAGTCTTTATAGTATTCTATTTTATGACTATACTTTAGGTAGACAGTTGAATTGTTTCTAGTTATTATGAATAAACACGTTATAATATTATTGAAACTGTTGCCTTGTGCTCATTGCCAACAGTTTTTATGAGTTACACATAAGGCATAGAATAGCTGAGTCTTTTTTTTTTTTTTGTCTTGAGACGGAGTTTCGCTCTTGTTGCCCAGGCTGGACTGCAATAGCGCAATCTGGGTTCACTGCAACCTCCACCTCCCAGATTCAATCAATTATCCTGCCTCAGCCTCCCAAGTAGCTGGGATTACAGGCATGTACCACCACCCCTGGCTAATTTTGTATTTTTAGTAGAGATGGGGTTTCTCCATGTTGGTCAGGCTGGTCTTGAACTCCCAACCTCAGGTGACCTGCCCACCTCGGCCTCTCAAAGTGTTGAGATTACAGGCGTGAGCCACCGCGCCCGGCCAGAATAGCTGAGTCTTAAGGTGTACACATACTGAATCTTTCTAGGTGATGCCAATCAGTTTTCTAAAGTGAAAGAGAGCAATCTATAAGATTTCCCTTTTCTCCATATCCTTGCGAGCACTTAAGTTGTCAGACTTTCACATTTTGGTTAATCTAATAGAGTAAAATGTTATCTGTGTTTAACTTTGCATTTCTATGACTATTCTTGAAGTCGGGTATCTTCATATGTTTACCTTTATTTAATCTTCTATGAAATGCCCTTTTTTTGTTTGTTTGTTTTGTTTTGAGATGGTGTATAGCTCTGTTGCTAAGGCTGGAGTGCATTGGCAAGATCTTGGCTCACTGCAACCTCCGCTTCCCAGGTTCAAGCGATTCTCCTGCCTCAGCCTCCAGAGTAGCTGGGATTACAGGCGCCTGCCAACACACCTAGCTAGTTTTTGTATTTTTAGTAGAGAGGGTTTCGCCATGCTGGCCAGGCTGCTCTCAAACTCCTAACCTCAAGCCATCCACCCACCTCGGCCTCCCAAAGTGCTGAGATTACAGGCGTGAGGCACTGCTCCTGGCCCATCCATGTCTTTTGTCATTTTTTCTGTTGAATTATGTATTTTTAAAATAGCAAGGTATAGCATTAGTACAGAAGGGTGCATAAAAAATAAATGGGGTTGGGCACGGTGGCTCTTGCCTGTAATCCCAGCACTTTGGGAGGCTGAAGAGGGTGGATAGCTTGAGGTCAGGAGTTTGAGACCAGCCTGCCCAAAATGGCGAAACTCTATTTCTGCAAAAATTGCAAAAATTAGCCTGGCATGGTGGCTTGTGCCTGTGTTCCCAGCTACACGGTCCCAGCTACCCAGGAGGCTGAGGTGGGAGGATCGCTGGAGCCGGGAAGTCAAGGCTACAGTGAGTCATGATTGCATCACTGGACTCCAACCTGGGTGACAGAGCAAGACCATCTCAATAATAATAACATAATTGTACCCTTTTAAAGAGTAATTTTAATTCAGGCCGGGCGTGGTGGCTCATGCCTGTAATCCCAGCACTTTGGGAGGCTGAGGCAGGTGGATCACGAGGTCAGGAGTTCAATACCAGCCTGGCCAAGAGAGTGAAACCCCATCTCTACTAAAAATACAAAAAAATTAGCTGGGCATGGTGGTGGGCGCCTGTAATCCCAGCTACTGGGGAGGCTGAGGCAGAGAATTGCTTGAACCCAGGAGATAGAGGTTGCAGTGAGCCGAGATTGTGCCACTGCACTGCACTCCAGCCTGGCGACAGAGTGAGACTGTCTCAAAAAAAAAATATTTTAATTCAAACAGCTATGTAACCACCAACCAGGTTAAAAAAAAAAAAGGAATGTGTCAACACTCTAGAAGCATTCCATTTTCCCCTGCCTTATTACAATTCCCTTCTATACTCAGAGGTCATTGCTACTCAGACTTTTTGTTAATTATAATTACTTCTGCATTTTCTTTATAATTTTGTCACCTGGAAATTCTCCTGAACAATATATTTTAGTATTGCCTGCTTTTGAATGTTTCAAAAATGAATTCACACAGTAAATAAGTTTTTGTCTTTGGTTTCTTATACTTACCATCATGTTTGTGAGATTCACATTGTTTCATATGACTGTAGTTTGTAAATTTGTGTTGCTTTATAGTATCCCATTGTTGATTGTTAGTGTTATTGCTGTCTAGTACAACACAATTCACTGAAGTGTCCTACTGTTGATGGACACTTGGGCTGTTTCCAGCTTTTTGTTATAGCTAAGAACATTCTTGTAATGTCTCTGGATACACTTAAGCAAGATTTTCTCTAGGGTAGGTACTACTTTCCAAAGCTAGGTGTGTTCCAGTTTACATTCTTACCAGCAGTATATCAGAATTCCCAGTAGCCTACAAACACTTGCTACTGTCAGAGTTCCTACATTTTTTGTTTGTTTTAAGATGGAGTTTCGCTATTGTTGCCCAGACTGGAGTACAATGGCGTGATCTTGGCTCACTGCAGCCTCCGCCTCCGGGTTCAAGCAATTCTCCTGCCTCAGCCTCCCAAGTAGCTGGGATTACAGGCTTGCGACACAAGTGGTTAGTATTTTTTAGTAGAGACGGGGCTTCACCATGTTGGTTAGGCTGGTCTCGAACTCCTGACTTCAAGTGATCCACCTGTCTTGGCCTCCCAAAGTGCCGGGATTACTGGGGTGAGCCAATGTGCCCAGCCGTATTTTTTTTTTTTTTTGAGATGGAGTCTTACTCTGTGGCCTAGGTTGCTGGACTGCAGTGGCACAATCTCCACTCACTGTAACCTGTAACTTCCGCCTCCCCGGTTCAAGCAGTTCTCCTGCCTCCGCCTTCCCAGTAGCTGGGATCACAGGCACTTGTCACCACTCTTGGCTAGTTTTATTTATTTATTTATTTATTTATTTATTTATTTATTTATTGAGACGGAGTCTCGCTCTGTAGCCCAGGCTGGAGCACAGCTGCGCGATCTCGGCCCACTGCAACCTCCGCCTCCCGCCTCCCAGGTTCACACCATTCTCCTGCCTCAGCCTCTGGAGTAGCTGGGACTACAGTCCCCCGCCACCATGCCTGGCTAATTTTTTGTTTGTATTTTTAGTAGAGACAGGGTTTCACCGTGTTAGCCAGGATGGTCTGGATCTCCTGACCTCGTGATCCGCCTGCCTCGGCCTCCCAAAGTGCTGGGATTACAGCCATGAGCCACCGTGCCCGGCCGTTTTTTTTTTTTTTTTTTTTTTTTTTGTATTTTTAGTGGAGCCGGGGTCTCGTCTGTTGGCCAGGCTTGTTTCAAACTCCTGACCTCAAGTCGGGAATCAGGAGGTCAGGTGATCCGCCTGCCTCATCCTTCCAAAATGCTGGGATTACAGGCGTGAGCCACCACCACACCTGGCCAGAGTTCCTAATTTTTGCCAATCTAGTGGGTGGAGCTTAAAAACCAATCAATTGAAACTAATCATGGTTTTAATGCATTTCCCTGATTTGTAATGCGCTTGCTCACCTTACATGTTTGTTGACTCTCTGGATTTTGTCATTTCCAAAGCATCTGTTCAATAATTTTATCCATTTTTCGATTGGGTTGTCTGTTTAGATCTTATATATTCTAGATAATTGTCTTTGTCAATCATATGTGTAACAAATTTCTCCCACTCTGTGGCTTTTTTCTCTCTTATGATGTATTTTTTTTTCCACTTTTCAGTCGTAAGATGATATCACTTTTAAGTTCAGTCATATACTTGGCATTTTGGGTTCATCATGGAGTTAGTTCATCATGGAGTTTTGAAGGTCAGATTATTTTTGTCCTAACCCAGTCAAATCAATTGCTTCTCGTTAGTTCTTTTTCTATCATATATTCCCACCCATAGGTCCTGCAGATATTCTAGAACGTTATTTCCTACAAGTTCTGGGTTTCCTGTCCGCATTCCGGTGTGTGGCTGGAAGGATCGCTCCATGACCACGGACGCTGACGGCGCCTCTTCCGGCTTACCTCAGGGGCGGGTATGGCGGACCTGTTCTTTTATCAGAAAGATCTATATTTTGCTAATAAAGGAACGTTTTGTGTCCAATAAGGTTTTCGTCATTACGCCTGAAAACTCCACCTTAAGCTTATTTCGCCTGTGAATATTTAAGGGAAAAAAAAAACACCCCGGCAACCAACTGCCAGGCGACGGAGGCTAAGCTGCTCCTCCCCATTGAGGCCAGCACCCGCCTTTTCCCGAAGTCGCAACACGCAGGCGCGCCTGGCTCGCACGCCACGAACGGAAGTGCGCCTGCGTCAGGAGACGCCCCGCCCAGCCCCTGCTCGACTATAAAGTGTCGAGCTTCTCCTCGCGAGAGACTTCGTGCTCATGCTCGCTGCAGGGGTCGGAGGTCAGGGCGAGCGTCTCGCGGGCCGTAGGAGGAAGATGGCGGTGGAGTCGCGCGTTACCCAGGAGGAAATTAAGAAGGAGCCAGAGAAGCCAATCGATCGCGAGAAGGTGAAGGTCCCCTCCGCTTTGGGGTCCGGGAAGAGATTGGGGGTGGGCCCGGCAGGGTGCAGAGGCGCGGCCTGTGTGCGGGAGGAGACGGTGTTTTTGGTATCCGTGCGGCTCGGAGGCCGCAACGCCTCGGGAAGAGAGGTGAGGTCGGGGCTCGCAGCTGGTGTCTTTAACTTCTGCCGTTCCGTTTTTCTCTCTCCCTCAGACATGCCCACTGTTGCTGCGGGTCTTCACCACCAATAACGGCCGCCACCACCGAATGGACGAGTTCTCCCGGGGAAATGTACCGTCCAGCGAGTTGCAGATCTACACTTGGTGAGGAGGGCGGGGGCGGGCTGGGACCCGGGCCGGGAACCTGGAACAACAGTTAATTGCCTTTGCCAGTGTAGAGTTATTCTCCTTGATTTAAATTTCATTCCTCCACTTGGGGCCTTCAGGCTCAACTTTCGGGAAGTTAGAAGTTTTTGTTGTTAGGTGAAAGGAGATTTGCCTTTATTGTAACGCTTTTGTGATTAATGTTGCAACTTTTGGGCGGTTAAGAATGCACAGACCCAAGATTGCTAGCACTGTTATGGCTGCTAGGTACAAAAGTGATAGGTAGATGATTAAGTTGTAGTCTCCGCCGTAAAGGGACTCATGGTCAAATAAATTGCACTAGGACAGCATGGTAAGGGAGAGTGATGCTGTCGAGTGGTGTTTGTTATTCTCAAAGAGCATTTCCACGTAATATTAAGCCTTAGGTACCAAGGCACCAAAAGTGAAAAATAAGCTACCAAAACCCGAGTTATTATCTAAGGGTTAATGGAAGAGCTTTTGGTGTGTGTTTAGTGAAGATGGTTCCTGAGTGTTCATCTCTTGGTGTATCTCCCTACAAACTACTGCCGGCTTGTCTTTTTTTTTTTTTTTTTGAGACGGAGTCTCTCTCTGTCGCCCAGGCTGGAGTGCTGTGGCGCAATCTCGGCTCACTGCAAGCTCCGCCTCCCGGGTTCACGCCATTCTCCTGCCTCAGCCTCCCGAGTAGCTGGGACTACAGGCGCCCGCCACTGCGCCCGGCTAATTTTTTCTATTTTTAGTAGAGACGGGGTTTCACCATGGTCTCGATCTCCTGACCTTGTGATCCGCCCGCCTCGGCCTCCCAAAGTGCTGGGATTACAGGCGTGAGCCACCGCGCCCGGCCTTGCCGGCTTGTCTTCAGCGCTGCACATAACTCCTTGGATTGACACCATAATGGGTTTTTAATATAAGTAAAAGGTGTGTAACTGAAAAATATATGTATATGCTATATATATGTGTGTGTGTGTGTATATATATTTTTTCAGACGGAGTCTTGCTCTGTCGCCCAGGCTGGAGTGCAGTGGCGCTATCTCCGCTCACTGCAGGCTCCGCCTCCCGGGTTCACGCCATTCTCCTGCCTCAGCCTCCCGAGTAGGTGGGATTACAGGTGCCCACCACCACGCCTGGCTAATTTTTGTATTTTTAGTAGAGGTGAGGTTTCACCATATTGACCAGGCTGGTCTCGAACTCCTGACCTCAGGTTGTCTGCCTGCCTCGGCCTCCCAAAGTGCTGGGATTACAGGTGTGTGAGCTATCGCGCCTGGCCTAAAATAAATTCTTTATTGTGATAAAAAATTATATAACAAGCCATGCACAGTGGCTCATGCCTGCAATCCCAGCACTTTGGGAAACTGAGGCTGGCGGATCATTTTAGGTCAGGAGTTTGAGACCAGTCTGGCCAGCGTAATGAAACCCTGTGTCTACTAAAAATGCAAAAATTAGCCTTGTGTGGTGGCACAGAATTGTAATCGCAGCTACTTGGGAGACTGAGGCAGGAGGATCCCTTGAACCTGGGAAGTGGAGGTTGCAGTGAGCTGAGGTCGCGCCACTGTACTCCAGCCTGGGCGACAGAGCGAGATTCCGTCTCAAAATACATACGTGTGTGCATATGTAACAAAATTTGCCATGTTAACCATTTCTTATTTCTTGAGTCTCACTCTGCCGCCCAGGCTGGAGTGCAGTGGCGCCCATCTCGGCTCACTGCAACCTCTGTCTCCCGGGTTCAAGGGATTCTCATGCCTCAGCCTCCCCAGTAGTTGGGATTACAGGCGCACACCACCACACCTGGCTAAGTTTTGTATTTTTAGTAGAGACAGGGTTTCACCATGTTGGCCAGGCTGGTCTTGAACTCCTGACCTCAAGTGATCTGCCCGCCTCGGCCTCCCAAAGTGGTGTAGGATGACAGGCGTGAGCCAGCGTGCATGGTCATTAACTGTTTTTAAGTGTATAATTTGGTGGCATTAATAGCATTCAAACTGTTGTGCAACCACTATTTCTACAAGTTTTTATCCCTCCCTCCAACAGAAACCCTGTACGCCATCCTGCCTGGTTTTAATTTTTAAAGAGATGGAGTCTTGCACTGTTTTCCAAGCTGGATTTGAGCTCCCTGGCTCAACCAGCTGGGACTGCAGGCACACACCACCATGCCCAGTGTGCTGGTAACCTTTTAAGGACACACCGTGCCTGTTACAAAATAATTTCCCATTCCTCCCCCGCCCCATCCCCTGGTAGCTTCTAATGTATTGTCTGTCTATATATGAATTTGTCTATTCTGGATATTTCATTTCAGTGAACTTGTTACAGTGTTGGTCATTTTGTGACTGGCTTATTTCATGGTGTTTTCGGGGTTGATGTTGTAGCATCCATTCAGCCTTGTCAAGACTGAATAATATTTCATTGTATGTGTGCATCCCATATGTACTCATCTATTGATGGACACTTGGATTGTTTCACCTTTTTTGCCATTGGGAATAATGCTGCTGTGAACATTGGCATACAAATGTGTTTGTGTCCCTGCTTTCAGTTATTTTGGGTATGTACCTAGGAGTGGATTACTGGGTCATATGTTAATTTTGTTTAAGTTTTGAGGAACCATCAAACGTTTTCACAGCAGTTGCACTATTTTATATTCCCCAGAATGTGTATAATTTAAAACTGTTTAAGCCCTGTACACTAGAGCTAATCCCTTGAATATTGGGACCTTACTTACCTTATTTGGAAGTGCTTGTTAAATTTATGTAGTAGTATGATACTTGTATTTAAGCATCACTCAAGGGTAAGTGTTCCAGGAAGTTTGATTTAGCTTATGTGGAAGAACTGTTGAATAATGACTTCATGAAAATCTCTTTTCAGAAATTGAAGTGTATGTTTTTTCCAACAAATAAGAGTTCCTATTTGCTGGGTGCTGTGTGTGCTTAGATCCTGAGGGTATAAAGTCAAGAAGGTACTGCTCCTCCCCGTAGTCCTTTTATCAGGGAAAGCGGATGAATAGAGTGATTTTTAGGGTTAAGATGGCAGGGTGAGGTTGTTCCACAGACCACCTCCTCTGAATCAAGAAAAAAAAAATTGGCCGGGCGCGGTGGCTCAAGCCTGTAATCCCAGCACTTAGGGAGGCCGAGACGGGCGGATCACGAGGTCAGGAGATCGAGACCATCCTGGCTAACACGGTGAAACCCCGTCTCTACTAAAAATACAAAAAACTAGCCGGGCGAGGTGGCGGGCGCCTGTAGTCCCAGCTACTCCGGAGGCTGAGGCAGGAGAATGGCGTGAACCCGGGAGGCGGAGCTTGCAGTGAGCTGAGATCCGGCCACTGCACTCCAGCCCGGGCTACAGAGCAAGACTCCGTCTCAAAAAAAAAAAAAAAAAAAAAAAAAAGAAAAAAAAATTACAAAAAAAATCCTGTCCTGAACTACCTGTCCATAAATTGCAACCAAACAAAGAAGGAACAACCTTAAGTGATATCTCAAAATGGTGGCCAAAGAAGAGATTCTGAAAGACTGTATGATTAGTAATGGGGGTAACGCAAAGGCCTGCCCTCACTCCCAGAAATATTAATGAGGGAAAATTACTTAACTTATGCTGGAAATTCTCAATAGAAGTAGACTGTGAGGTTAAAGTAGGCAGCCCCAAGACAAGCTATGGAAAAAGGAGTGGGATTCTAGAGGAGCCCAGTGGAGGCAGGCTGTGCCCGCCAAAGTCATGGCTCAGCCAGAAAAACAGAATTGGGAGAGATGTGTTAAGAGATTTATTTCTGCTGGGCATGGTGGCTCACACCTGTAATCCCAGCACTTTGGGAGGCAGAGGTGGGCAGATCATGAGGTCAGGAGTTGGAGACCAGCCTGGCCAACGTGGCAAAACCCTGTCTCTACTAAAAATACAAAAATTAGCCAAGTGTGGTGGCAGGCGCCTGTAATCCCAACTATGTGGGAGGCTGAGGCAGGAGAATTGTTTGAATCCAGGTGGCAGAGGTTGCAGTGAGCCGAGATCGGTGCCACTGCCTCTAGCCTGGGCGACAGAGCGAGACTCCATCCCCCCCCCCCCCCCCCCCCCAAAAAAAAGAGCTTTATTGCAAAGAATTGGCCTATGTGATTGTGGGGGCTGTCTAGGCACTTAATTGTCAAATCTGTAGGGCAGGTTCTCAGGAAGGAAAGGCTGCTTTTAGGGCCTTTCAAATAATAGAATCAGGCCTACCCAGATTATATAGGATAGACCCTTGAATTTAAGGTCAGTTGGTTGTTGACTTTAATCACATCAATAAAGTATCTCACAGCAATACCTAGGTTAGTGTTTGGTTGAGTATCTGGGGGCTGTAGCTTCGTCAAGCTGACACAAGTACTGAACCCCACCCTGTCCTCAAGCTCCTGACTAGTGATGAAAAAGCAACACTTGGCACTCCAATTGTTGGTCTGGAAAGTTAGTCCTTAGAAGGTGGGAAGCTTGTGTAGGTTTCACACTGTCAGAACTGATAAAAGGTGTGATATAAATCCCCCAAACTCATTAAGAGCAAGACAATATTGAAAATATTTATAGAAGGAAAAAATTCTTTGTTATATATCATCATAAGTATGTACTCTGTATCAGAATATAGATTGAGCATTGCAAGTCCAAAATCTGAAATGCTGCAAAATCTGAAACTTTGAGAGCTGACATGACACCGGTGGAAAATTGCACACATAAGTTCTTGACACAAACTTCTTTTTTTTGAGAGAGTCTTGCTCTGTCGCCCAGGCTGGAGTGCAGTGGCGCAATCTTGGCTCACTGCAACTTCTGCCTCCCAGGTTCAAGTGATTCTCCTGCCTCAGCCTCCTGAGTAGCTAGGATTACAGGCGTGCACCAAACTTCCTTTCATGCACGAAATTACTTAAAATGATGTATAAAATTATATTCTGGCTGTGTATAAGGTATGTTTGAAACATAAATGAGTTTCTTATTTAAACTGGGGTCACAACCCCAAGATACCTTACATATCTGCAGAAATTCTAAAATCTGAAAAAAGCCAAAGCACTTCTAGTCCCATGTATTTTGGGTAAGGGATACTCAACCTGTAATTGATACAGAATAACATCAAAATATCAGGTTAAAAAAAAAAAAAACTCACCTCTGAGACAGATAAACCAGTGTGACCTCAGGTTTTTTTGTTTTTGTTTTTGAGACAGTCTCACTCTGTTGCCCAGGCTGGAGTACAGTGGCACAATCTTGGCTCACTGCAGCCTCTGCCTCCCAGGTCAGGCGATTCTCTTGCCTCAGCCTCTCGAGTAGCTGGGATTATAGGCTACAGATGTGTGCCACCACGCCTGGCTAATTTTTGTAATTTTAGTAGAAACGGGGTTTCACCATGTTGGCCAGCCTGGTCTCAAACTTGAGCTCCTGGCCTCAGGTGATCCACCCGCCTTGGCCTCCCAAAGTGCTGGGATGACAGGCATGAGCCACCGCACCTGTCAAAAAAATGTATACTAGGTTATTTCTAAGATGCTTATATTTTAAAATATTTTTTCAGGTTGTGTCTTATTAGCTCAGGGGACTATATGAAAGTTGCATTCAAATCAATATTTGCAGGGTAAGAAACTTTATTGTGACAAGAGCCTGTGCTTCATCCTAAGAAAATTTTGTATATTTCATTGGCTCTAGGACTGTTATCTGTTGTAAAACTTAAGATTCCATCTAAGAAAGAAGAAATACATCTGGCTGGGCACAGTGGCTCATGCTTGTAATCATCCCAGCACTTTGGGAGTCTGAGGTGGGTGGATCACTTGAAGTCAGGAGTTCGAGACCAGCATGGCCAACATGGTGAAACCCTGTCTCTACTAAAAATACAAAAATTACCTGGGTGTGGTGGCGGGCACCTGTCATCCCAGCTACTCAGGAGGCTGAGGCAGGAGAATTGCTTGAACCTGGGAGGCGAAGTTGCAGTGAGCCAAGGTCATGCCACGGCACTGCAGCCTGGGTGACAGAGTGAGACTCTCAAAAACAAAACATGTCAGTATGAAAATGCTTTCCTAGTACATTGATTCTAAGATACACTCCAATTTCAGAGATGCTAAAATGTGGAAGAGTACATGTCTTAGAACTAATGGAATACATATATTTTGCATATTTGGATTTATTTGGACTAGTTATCCTTAGGTAAATCACTGGGCCATAAGGTGTTGTGTAGCAACAGAAGATGGCTTATGGAATCTCTGAAGTCCCTTTTAGCACTAAGAGTCTAATTAATTGAAATTTCCAGCAGTAAGGCTGGTACACGGAGTTTTTGGAGGCAAATAGTATTTTTAGCAGCTTTAAAAGTAAATTCTAGTATAAGACCCTGGCAGTTTGTAACGTAAGTCACAACTCATATATGTGATTAACGCATTGTCAGTATCCTTTTAATAATATTGCTGAGTAAACAAATGTAAATATGTTTTTAAAAAAATCCAGGATGGATGCAACCTTGAAAGAACTGACAAGCTTAGTAAAAGAAGTCTACCCAGAAGCTAGAAAGAAGGGCACTCACTTCAATTTTGCAATTGTTTTTACTGATGTTAAAAGACCCGGCTATCGGTAAGTAACTTCTCATTTTTAAGTCCTGTAATCTCTTTGTTTTTAGTATGTTTTAACTGATAGAGATCACTCCTTCAGTGAGTCTTCTTAGTGGGAGAATAGGGTTTATACTCAGACCTGGTTTGGCTTAATAAAGTCTGTGTTATAAAGTGATGGAGCAGATCCGGTGCCGGATTCACTTCGTAGCACATGCTGGGATTCACTGGTTTTGATCCATTAACAGTTGATTTTTCTTCTTGCAGAGTTAAGGAGATTGGCAGCACCATGTCTGGCAGAAAGGGGACTGATGATTCCATGACCCTGCAGTCGCAGAAGTTCCAGATAGGAGATTACTTGGACATAGCAATTACCCCTCCAAATCGGGCACCACCTCCTTCAGGGCGCATGAGACCATATTAAATTCTATTTACAATTTCTTGAATTTATTTTTCCGTCAGTTATGTAAAATAAACTTACTCTTTTTCCTCCCCTGATTATTGCCATTAAGCCTTTAAATTCTAAAATTATAATGCATCATCTATTTAGGAATTAGATTCGGATGTGCTATTGTATGATTACTAATAGAAAGTCTGTATGTTTCAAGCCCTTCTGTAAAATATGAAGAAAAGTGCTCTTAGCATTCTGTGTAAAACTGTACTGTTAAATATATGTGTGTAATCAGCCTGAGTGTGAAAGTTAATGGAGGCCTGGGAACAGGGTTTATACTAAGTAGTGGAGGAGGGTATTGTTAAGCCCAAAGGGGCAGAACAAGAAAGCCACAGGATTGTATGAAATCAAACATGAGTTTGTGGTGTAGACTGCTGTAAGCAGTTGGAAAGGACGTGAGATTGAGCTCAAGTGGCAGCAGAGGCAGTTTGGAATAGTCCGAGCTGAGGCAAGTTGAAGAAGCTGTGTTGGAAGAGATGGCGCTGCCTTGATCAGGGTACCATGACATAAAAGGTTGAAGAACAAGCACCACAATGAGGACTTATATTTTTAACATGTGGGGAATAGGGCATTTTAAAGGCTGGAACCAGTTCAGAGGAAACAAGGGTTTCAGTAGAGGTAGAAAGATTTACCTTGGAGGTCTGCAAATGGAGGGAGGCGTGAAGGAAAAATCTTAAAGACCGAGGGAGAAGAGCCAAGGACAAGGTCAGGTTGAGTGAGTAGGAGGTATTCACGCACCCTCTTGTGTGCTAGGTACTGGTGTGCATCTGATTAGAGAGGCAGTAAAGCAATGATGCATGCAGACCAGTGCAGCAAAACGTTTAAATCCTGATTGCAGCAGTGGCTCTGCAACTTTGGATAAATTATTTGAATCTTCATTTTGTAAAATGGAGATAATGGCCTATAGGATTGTCAAGATTGAATATTTTAAAAGAGCTTAGAATAGTGCCTGGCAAATGAGAAAACAATAAATACTGGTTATCGGCTGTAAAGTGGTGTTAAAACTGGAACTCTTCCATGGCACTATTCTCATTTTGAAGTTTATGAAGAGTATGACAGTGTACTGTAAATTCCCTTTAGTTTGTTACAGTAGCCAAGTGAAAATGTATATCCCAAAATTTAAAAAAAAGTACTAGCAGCAATTAAATTGCAGTAGTTTTATCTGGCACATAGAAAAACAGCCATTTAAAATCTAACGATTCTGTGGAATTGGTGTCCCTGTTAGTGGCAGAGACCAACCTGGAGCCTAGATCTGGTGCCTCTTCTGTGCTGTGGTTTACCCCAAACCTTTAGGTTTATTCATTCAGATTAGATAGAGTGGAGCCATAAAGTTAATTTACACCTAGCTTTTTGGAGAATAGCCATGATTAACTTCCTATTCGTGGGGGGAAAAACCCTATGATTTACTATGCAGATGAAGAGGGTAGGAACTAAATAAAGGACTTTGTAAGCCAAAGTGGTTGAGCTGGTTTGTCAAATTCCACCCTTTGCTTGGTTCCAACACGGAATTTTTCCTTTAAATATTTCAATATTCCATTAAAAGTACAGTTAGAGAATACCTAGTAGAATTTATTGAATATAATGCTAAGAATCAAAAGACTTGTTTACCTCGGGCTTTGGTAGGTAAGTGTGGCTTTAAGTAATAACTGAGCTGTTTCCCCACATATAAAATAGAAATAGTCGTCATGACAGCATCTTGCTTAGTTCTTTAGCGTCTACCCTGGTTGCCTCATTGACTCATAGGTATTTTGGAATTGACGTTTTCCGTCTGGAATATGTGTTACAGTACATGACACTGCCTATGTCTTTTTTTTTCACGGTATACAAAAACTGGGACGGTTATGCCCAGCTGATCATTGACTCAGGTAATGCTTTAGGTATCAGTTTTATGCATATGAGAGGCAGGTGTGAATGGGGGTAGAAAGAAACATAAGACTAGGTTTAAGATTCTCCAAAATTGAACATACTAAATAAAGAGCTGAACTCGATATACCTCTTTCTTGGTCAATTAAACACATTTCAGAGTTGTTTTTGTGAAACTGAGAAGGCAACACTAAATCAAGTTTATAACTATGATTTAAGTGTTTACTTGCGCCAAACAGATGGCTCCCAAGTTATGATAGTTGAACTTCAGATTTTTCAGTTTTGCAATGGAGCATAAGTGATAAGGCATTCACTACGGTCCTCAGCTTATTATGGGGCTACATCCCAATAAACCCACTGTGAACTGAACACATTTTAAGTAGAAAGGGCACTTCTGACAGGATATTTTCAACTCATGATGAGTTTATCCAGACATGACCCCATAAGTAAGGAACACTGATACTGTGCTGAGGAACAACTTTACCAGCATTATCTCATGTAACCACAACTGAGATACAGTGACTATAGTGGCCATTTATAGGTGACAATGAGGCCCAGATGGAGGGACTACTTTAACAGCTAAAAAATGGGTCATTGGACCTAGGTAGCCAAAAATAGAGGAGTAGTTGAAACATTTCCAGAAATAATGTTCTTTCATATTCAGTTTCTTATAGTCTGGCATCCACCCGCACTACACTGACTATTATTGCTGTGATGTTATCCCCTACAGTTAGCAATTTTTGCCTAGTTATCTAAAGTAGACCTCTTCTATTCAGTTTTTATACAAACTCAAAATGCCTCTCTTAAAAAAAAAATGACATGGTCATAGTTTCCACTTTGAATGTGTTAAGAGCAGCCAGATGTCTGCCTGTTCTGGTTTGTCTTCTATTACTGAAATATAGGTTGCTTTTGCAAATAACTGATTTCCTGGAGTCTGCAAGGCACAAGCTTGAAGGAAGTTATGTTTATTGTGTTAGAAAGGATTAATCATGGCTAGGCAACTATTCTGTGAAGACAAAATCATGGATTCTCCCCCTTAAGACATCCTTAGGGGAAATAAGCTAAACATAAAAGTAATTTTAATACTAAAAAGTACTTGTAATAAGCAAAAGTCCTTAGCCTGGGAATGTTAATGCAGACTTTATTATAGGAAGGTGTAATGATATCCCTACCTCATAAAACTTGGGAGGAGTCAGTGAAACTAGGGGAGAGCCTAGTGGGCAGTGAATATTTAGTAAAGGTAAGCTATTTTAAAAAGAGGAAAAAGGTATTTCTAGCCTCTTCAATTTGCGCCTTCAGCTGTTTAGAATTTCTTACTCTACCCATGGTACTATGTCAACTCAGTTACAACCAACTCACAAGAAAATTTAACCAGAATTTGGCCAGGTACAGTAGCTCACACCTGTAATCTCAGCACTTTGGGAGGCCGAGGTGGGCAGATGACCTGAGGTCAGGAGTTCAAAACCAGCCTGGGCAACACAGCAAAACCCTGTCTCTACTAAAAATACAAAAATTAGCCAGGCGTGGTGGCAGGCGCCTGTAGTTCCAGCTACTTGGGAGGCTGAGGCAGGAGAATGGCAGGTGAACCCGGGAGGCGGAGCTTGCAGTGAGCCAAGCTAGCACCAATGCACTCCAGCCTGGGCAACAGAACAAGACTCTGTCTCTAAAAAAAAAAAAAAAAAATTAATGGAATTTGATATTTGATGAAATTAGAGCAATTTAAGAATGAAGTGGGCCAGGTGCGGTGGCTCACGCCTGTAATCCCAGCACTTTGGGAGGTTGAGGTGGCCAGATCACGAGGTCACGAGTTCGAGACCAGCCTGATCAACATGGTGAAACCTAGTCTCTACTAAAAATACAAAAACTAGCCAGATGTGATAGCAGGCGCCTGTAATCCTAGCTACTTGGGAGGCTGACGCAGGAGAATCGCTTGAACCTGGGAGGCAGAGGTCGCAGTGAGCCAAGATCTCGCTACTGCACTCCAGCCTGGGCGACAGAGGGAGGCGTTAAAAAAAAAAAAAATGAAGTGAACCTCCTGAGGGATATTCAAAAATCCTTGAAAATTTTAGATGAGTGCCTTTTTTTTTTTTTTTTTTTTTTTTTTTTTTTTTGGGGTTTTTCTCTGTCGCCCAGGCTGGAGTGCAGTTCGGGATCTCGGCTCACTGCAAGCTCCGCCTCCCGGGTTTACGCCATTCTCCTGCCTCAGCCTCCCGAGTAGCTGGGCCTACAGGCGCCGGCCACCTCGCCCGGCTAGTTTTTTTTTGTATTTTTTTAGTAGAGACGGGGTTTCACCGCTTTAGCCAGGATGGTCTCAATCTCCTGACCTCGTGATCCGCCCGTCTGGGCCTCCCAAAGTGCTGGGATTACAGGCTTGAGCCACCGCGCCCGGCCAGATGAGTGCCTATTTTATGCACCAGATGCTGTGAACCTGGCAATACCAAGATTTGACACAGATACGGATCCTTCCTCAAAATCTTACAATCTAGTAAGGAGGAAAAGGTGCAAATATTGATAAAAGGTGGACAGAAAAATGTCACAAGAAAGAATTGCTACTGAAACTGTGGTAGGATAATGGAAAGTTTTCTACAGATGGCATTTAAGCTTGTTCAGCTCCTTCAAGTGGAGTGGGGTCTACACTCCAGTAAAGGGCACAGCACAAACAAGAGGAAATGATGAACTCACAATCAGTAAAGCACTTACCTACTGACCTTTGGCAGGAGTTCCAGATAATTCTAAAGAATTGTAATAAGGCCGGGCGCGGTGGCTCAAGCCTGTAATCCCAGCACTCTGGGAGGCCGAGGCGGGCGGATCACGAGGTCAGGAGATCGAGACCATCCTGGCTAACCCGGTGAAACCCCGTCTCTACTAAAAAAATACAAAAAACTAGCCGGGCGAGGTGGCGGGCGCCTGTAGTCCCAGCTATTCGGGAGGCTGAGGCAGGAGAATGGCGTAAACCCGGGAGGCGGAGCTTGCAGTGAGCTGAGATCCGGCCACTGCACTCTAGCCCCGGCGACAGAGCGAGACTCTGTCTCAAAAAAAAAAAAAAAAAGAATTGTAATAATCTAGGTGAGAATCAGGGTAGTGGTAAAAAGATGTTAAAAGACCCTCTGTAGGGCTTAGCAACCAACAAGACCTGGGATGGGAAATCGGACATGGAAAGTTAATCATTAAAGCCTCAATTTCCTCATTTGAAAAATTGGGTACCTACCTCAAAGAGTTAACTACACACGTTAATAAATGTATAGCATTTAGAACCATGCCTGGCATTGTAAGATCTCAACTCTTTAACGTAATCAGTAATTCACACAATAAACCTTTTAAACCTAGGTGCCTGGGTAATGGACAAAGTAAGCAAACAAGGTCCTTGCCCTCATTGAGCTTTTGTGGTCCAGTGGGGGAGACAAATATTAAATAAATGTATACCCAAATATTTTATTAAATTGAATTTATTAAATTCTACCAAATACAATGAAAGACGAGAATAAGGTGCTGAGAAAGAACTAAGGGGGATGATCTCTTTTAAACCAGGAAGATAGGTAAAGTCTTTGATAAAATGATACTTAATCGGAGAGCATATTAGCCAGGGCTCAAAGTCTGAAGTAACACAAAACTCCAGCTAGCTCAAGGGCAAGGAGTTTATGCAACAGAAAAGTCCAGGGTGGAGCTAGCTTACTTCAGGCCCAGCTGATCCTTGAGCTCCACCACCACAACTCTGTGGCAAGGGCTCCTCCACTCAGGCTGGCCCTCCCTTCACGGCTCCAGCTGTACCTCTGCATCTCCAGAAGTGTGCTGCTCTTTCCCAGTACTTCCCTAGTCCCAGAATAGGCTTTCATTGACCTAACTGGAGCTGGCCTGTAAGTTCTTAAGGGCAGTAGTGCGGGGCAGACAAAAATATCAAGTATCTACCAATTAAGGATGAGGGAGTGTTAGCAGAATGGGTGGGAAAAAGTATTCCAGGATGAGAGCAGCCTGTGTGAGGCCCGGGGGCAGGAAGAATGGAGGAGTGGAAGAGGGTGGTGTGGCTGGAGCACAAGGGGCAGAAGGGAGAAGCAAGCTGCGGTCAAATCACATAGGGCCATGTAAGCCAAAATTAAGATCTTGGATTTCATTTTAAGAGCAGTGGGAAGACACACTTGAAAGATCCCAATGTCTGAAGCTTGACAAGCTGGAAGCATCAGTTCTAAGAAACAGAAACTAGGGTCATAGGAGGGAGGTGGTAAGGGTTAGGGAAATATGATTTGGACAAACTGAGGGGCCACCATTAAACAAGTGGTGCTCCCGCCGGGCGCGGTGGCTCACGCCTGTAATCCCAGCACTTTGGGAGGCCGAGGCGGGCGGATCACAAGGTCAGGAGATCGAGACCATGGTGAAACCCCGTCTCTACTAAAAAATAGAAAAAAATTCGCCGGGCGCAGTGGCGGGCGCCTGTAGTCCCAGCTACTCGGGAGGCTGAGGCAGGAGAATGGCGTGAACCCGGGAGGCGGAGCTTGCAGTGAGCCGAGATTGCGCCACTGCACTCCAGCCTGGGCGACAGAGCGAGACTCCGTCTCAAAAAAAAAAAACAAAAAAAAAAACAAGTGGTGCTCCCTTGCAGATAATCAGAAATGCTTAACAGCCTTTATTGCCCACTGATGTGGTTTGACTGTGTCCTCACCCAAATGTCACCTGAATTGCAGTTCCCAGAATTCCCACAAGGCGTGGGAAGGATGCAGTGGGAGGTCACTGAATCATGGGGGCGAGTCTTTCCTATGCTGTTCTCATGATAGTGAGTATGTCTCCCAAGATCTGATGGTTTTATAAAGGGGGGTTCCCCTGCACATGCCCTCTTGCCTGCCACCATGTAAGACGTGTCTCGCTTCCCACTTCGCCTTCTGCCATGATTGTGAGGCCTCCCCAGCCATGTGGAACTGTGAGTCCATTAAACCTTTCCTTTATAAATTACCCAGTCTTGGGTGTCTTTATTAGTAGTGTGAGAACAGACTAATACACTCATCTTTAAAAAACCTCTTCACTACATAACCTCTTCTAGCTACTGCCCCTTCTCTTGCCTCCCTTCTTTAGCAAAACTCCTCAAAAGAGCTGTCTGAAGCCACTGTTCTACCTCCTCAGCGGTTTTCTCTTCCATTCACTACAGACTTCTAGTACCAGCACTCCATAAAAATTAATCAGTGTTGTCAACATCAATTTTGCCAAACCCAACAGTCAATTCTCAGTCCTCTTTTTCCTTGAATTCTCAGCAATACTGATAGAATCGTCACTCTCCTTGAAATACTTTCTTCCTACTTCACTGGCCTCCTCTCAGTCTCCTTTGCTGGATGACTTTGCCCCTTTCCATCCTCTAAAGTTGGGAGAACTCTAGGATTTGGTCCTTATATACTTTGAATATATTCCCTCCCTAAGCAGCTCATCCGGTTCTGTGGATTCATATACACACGGTACACAGTAAAAGGCTGGTATACATTTCAGAGCCAATGGCATACATAAAGCTGACTAGAGCTTTATTTTGAAAAACAAAACTAAGTATCTTAAAATTTTATTTTACATTATATTTAACAAAAATTATACTTACAACTACCCAGTAACTTCTAGAACAAGGACAAAATCAAGTTTTGTTTTGTTGAGTTTTCTGACAAGATTAATAGAGCACAATGGACAGGTCCCCCATTTGACTTTCAAGGAACCATGAAAAAACAGGGTAATCTTTACTGCATCAAATTCCCAAAACTAAGCCTTTGAAGCACATTGACATAATACTTAATTGTTTCTTCTAAAATTTTTAATGGTTCTCCACAGTACGTTAGGTCCTTATTTTCTCATTGGCTGTAATTTGACAAGTTCTCCAAAAGCACTATCATGAACTTAATTAGATAATACTTTCCAGTTGTAATTAAATCAGAAGGATCGTAGGCTTGATAAGCAGGTCAGACTGAAGCTACCAGGCAGCTCTAGAGGTTCCCGTGGCCATAGCTAACAGCACACAGGAAGGCCCCTGGCCTAGGACGAGCCCTCAGAACCTTTTAGAGAGAGTGAGGTTCGGGGTCTACTGGGTGTCCAAGCTCGAGAGTGGAGCATGAGAGGTCAGCTGCCATGTGATAGAAAGAGCTGACGTGAGAGAAAAGACCCCACACAGTGAAAAGCTGGGAGAAAAGAGAAACAAACTCACAACCTGACAGCAGAGTTCCTGGTTCCAACTGTCGAGACCTGTCTCCACCTCCAGTGGTCACAGTATATAGTTACCCAGGCCTGGAAATCTCTTTTTTCCTAATTAGTTTAACTGGTGTTCCTGTTGTTTGCAAACAACAGCAACTGCATCTTCAGACAGCACTGAGGAAGTAAAAGGTGTGGGACGGTCCTGAAAGGAGATGATGGGAAGGCAGAGCTGGCTGGCAGCAATGTCTCCCTGGCCAGGTCAGGGGCAGCCTCATCTGAGTAGCAAACACCTTTATATTTTTAAAATTACTTGTCCTACTTCCTGGTACTACTTAAACCATTCTGTTGATTAAGCTGGGTAATTTAGTATCAATGAAACACTAAAAATCCTTAAAGAGTGAATGACCGGACTACATGTCAACAAGACTAAGGTTAAACCTTATCGAAACTTCATAAAAAGCGTATTATGATGTTAATGTTCATGTTCCTGTAAAATGGGTCAATGTTTAAAAAGGGGAAAGAGGCAGGGGAATGTGAATGATAAAATCGGTCCAGCTCTGCTTTAATTTCATTCTGTTCAGTTTCTTGTAATGGATAGATTCACTAGAAATTCTGCAACAGATACAAATAAAAAATATCAATTTAATATAATTAAAAGCCATTAAGACAAATGACACAATACTGTGGCTATATATTTTACACTTATAAAATAATTGAGGATAGGCCGGGTGCAGTGGCTCAAGCCTGTAATCCCAGCACTTTGGGAGGCCGAGACGGGCGGATCACGAGGTCAGGAGATTGAGACCATCCTGGCGAACACGGTGAAACCCCATCTCTACTAAAAAATACAAAAAACTAGCCGGGCGAGGTGGCGGGCGTCTGTAGTCCCAGCTACTTGGGAGGCTGAGGCAGGAGAATGGCGTGAACCTGGGAGGCGGAGCTTGCAGTGAGCTGAGATCCGGCCACTGCACTCCAGCCTGGGCGACAGAGCGAGACTCCATCTCCAAAAAAAAAAAAAAAAAATTTATTGAGGATAGATTCCCACTGATATCATTAAACTAGATAATTTGGGAATCTGAGATTCAGGGATCACAAGTCCTGTATCAAAAGATAGAGACAGGCTATTAAGCTGGCAAATGTCAATTAAAAACAAAATTTTTACTAACATTTAAATGTTTTTTTCTTTTTTTTTTTGAGACGGAGTCTCGCTCTGTTGCCAGGCCAGAGTGAGTGGAGCTATCTCCGCTCACTGCAACCTCTGCCTCCCAGATTCAAGCGATTCTTCTGCCTCAGCCTCCAGAGTAGCTGGACTACAGGTGTGCACCACCACACCTGGCTAATTTTTGTATTTTTAGTAGAGACAAGGTTTCACCATGTTGGCCAGGATGGTGAAATGTTAATTTTTAAATGTCCTCCTCAAATAACACACGAACTTTCTTTACAAAGGTAACATACTCACCAGTTTTCTTTGTTGCTGACATCTCGGATGTTCTGTCCATGTTTAAGGAACCTTTTACTGGGTGGCACTGCTTTAATTGCTACTGGAGTAGCTAGGTTTGAGTTGTATTTTGATAAAAGCTAAAAAAAAAAAAAAAAAAAGCAAATTCCTTTTTATTGAGCCATATGAACAACATAACCTAAATTTGGAAGAAGTTATAAAATGTTCAATACAAGCTATGGGCTGGGTGTGGTGGCTCACACCTGTAGTCCTAGCACTTTGGGAGGCCAAGGCAGGTGGATCACTTGAGGTCAGGAGTTTGAGACCAGCCTGGACAACAGGTGAAACCCTGTCTCTACTAAAAATACAAAAATTAGCCAGGAGTGGTGGCACACACCTGTAATCCCAGCTACTCGGGAGGCTGAGGCAGGAGAATCACTTCAACCCTGGAGGCGGAGGTTGCAGTGAGCTGAGATCATGCCACTGCACTCCAGCCTGGGAGACAGAGCAAGACTCGTTCTAAAAAAAAAAAAAAAAAAAAAAAGACATGCTAACAGCAATGAAAAGATGGGGATATAGAAATTTAACTTGGATGTGAAGGACTGATTTTTAAAGCCTAAAATGTATTCTGACTGAGGTTAGTGAAAACAAGTAGCAATATATCCCTGAGAGCAAATTAAGCCTTAACAAAGATGTTAAAATACACAAAGGAAAGATGTAAAATGAATGCTCCAAAGGAAGGTCACCAATTACAAAAGTTATGACAGGAGAACATGAAATATTAGCTAGAATTTTTTCATGCATAAAGAGATGATATATTAAATATAAGCTTTCCTTCCTTTTACATAGAAATAAAGAGATGAAGCAACCGTTGGGAGTGGAAACTATATAATTTTCATAAAGATAGAAGATGCTCCTTCTTCATGCAATTTATTATTTCTTCCAGAAAAGCAGAAGAGAGAAAAAAGGATAACAAGTACTTTATTGATATCCCAGCATGAGTCAGTTCTAAAGGCATCTGAGTATTTTCCTAAGTGATTTATCCTTCTCATGGGTCTCCGTAAGTCAGGAAGATTTCTATAATGGTTATTAAGAATTCCATACGTGTAAGTAATAATTGCCAAACACTGTAACTTCTATTAAGGAGGGGGACTGTCAAAGAATCAGACTGGTTATTTAGAATTGGCAGTTGTTATAAGTCATTAGTAGACTAATGGTAACTGCTGTGAAATACTAAAGAATCGGATACAGTCAGGCATCACTTAACGATAGGGATACATTCTGAGAAATGCATCATGAGGTGATTTCATCGTGTGTGAACATCACAGTACTTACACAAGCCTAGATAGTACACCCTACTGCACACCCAGGCAATATGGTACAGCCTATTGCTCCTAGGCTACAAACCTCTACAGCATGTAACTGTCTGAACAGTGCAGGCACTTGCTACACAGTGATAAGTACTTGTGTATCTAAACATAGAAAATGTACAGTAAAAATAGAGTATCATAATATTATCATTGCTGCGGCATATGCGGTCTGTTATTGACCAAAACGTTATGCAGCACATAACTATATTCTAATATACATCAATCAGTGTTTCCTAAACTGAGGTCCAACAAGTCTCAAGTTCAAGAAGCACTGACATGTTATTCATGATACCCTGGTTCTGGGAAATTGCAGGGTAAATGACTTTTCTGACTTTGCCAGCAACACTTCTAATGGAACCATGATTGACATGGAAACCACAGTTGAACAAGTACTAGAAAATAAGGTCCTGACAGCCTAGAATTTAGATTTTCTCATCACCAAAATTAGCACATTAGCTCAATGATAAATAAGACAGTTTACATGCAGTTTTAGGTCTTTAAGTATTTCATTTTGAAAAGAATATCAGAAAAAAAAAATATCCTGGAAAAATAACCTGGAGAATATCTTCTGGAATTTTAGTTACTTCTGGAGGCGTAGGTGTTCTGAGCAGATTCTCATAAGAAGAAATCGTAGGTGAAGAGGGATCTGTTAAATTCTCAAAGCATGTGTCTGAATTTAAAACCAACGAAGCATGATCTTTAACTTCCAAATCATTTGGTGAACTATTTATTTTTGATAATGGGTAATTTGTGGATACCTATTGAAAAAAAATACACCATTAAATTATGGTAATATAACATAATGTAGTAAACAAAAATGGTTAATCATTTGTTAGTTCTGTTGGGGTCTCTAAGTAGGCCCCCATATGCCCCATCTTCTCTGACCAAGTTCTAAACAAAATCAAGAACAAATGGCATACAGACGACAAAATATCACCTTCATTACCAATAAAGGCTGAGTTAAAGCTTAATGTCAGCAATGTGCGGTGGCTCACGCCTGTAATCCCAGCACTTTGGGAGGCTGAGGTGTGCGGATCACGAGGTCAGGAGTTTGAGACCAGCCTCGCCAACACGGTGAAACCCCGTCTCTACTAAAAATATAAAAAATTAGCCAGGTGTGGTGGTGCGTACCTTGTAATCCCAGCTACTCAGGAGACTAAGGTAGGAGAATTGCTTCAACCCAGGAGGCAGAGGTTGCAGTGAGCCAAGATTGCGCCACTGCACTCCAGCCTGGGTGACAGGGTGAGACTCCATCTCACCAAAAAAAAAAAAAAAAAAAAAAAAAAAGCTTAGTGTCATAACTAAATAGAATGAACCAAAGATTTAGATGGATACACCCACCCCATCTCAGGCAACAGTGAGTGTAGTCAGAGGAAAATCACAGCATGAATGAATAAGTGTTACCACACGCCCTCCCAAGAGGAAGAAAGCAGATCAGAGGTAAGTTTAGTATGCAGACTATTCATGCTAAACCAGCCAGTTTGGTAAGTCGCTCCATCTCTCTCAGGTCAGAGTTAACAGGGAGAGAGGATAGAGTGTCACCTCAGTAGGGTACCTTCCACGTGAACATAAGGAGTAGATTAATTGTAAATGGCAGGTACTAACAGGCAGATAACCTGATACCTCAATTGCTAACACAGCCCTATGTTCATCCACAGCTGCACTGTACAATATAGTAGCCATAGCCACACGGGACTCTTTAAATTTTAAGTTAATCAAAATTAAATAAAAATTAAAGAATTAAATATTAGTTCTTCCGATATACTAGCCACATTTTCAGAGCTCAATAACGTGATTAGTGGCTACCATACTGGACAGTGCAGATTAGAAAACATTTCCATCATTACAGAAAATTCTATTGGATGCCCTAACACAGTATTGGTTTTCTGTAGCATTGGTTAAGTGACCATACTGACTAAAGAGGGATAAGGTTTTGATTTGATGAAATCTGATTATTCAGTAGTAAAATTTAGGGGAAAAAAAGCACAAAATCACCCATAATTTTATCACCCAGAGATAACTACACTTTGCTGTTTCTATCCACTCTTTTTCCTTAAAACATATGTGTGTACGTATGCATGTGTGTGTGTACATAGACACACATAATTTTCCATATGATTAATATTTCTTGAAAATATTCTTTTTATATGCTGTCATCTGTTTTGAAAAACACATGATAGTATACATAACACCTGATCTTATGGATATGCCTTGCTGTGTTTTAGTTCTTCAATATCATTCGATATTTATACCGTTTCCCATGTTTTGTGCTTACAAAAAATGCTGTTTCGTACTCTATAACTTGTTTTAAATCTTTGTCCCACTTTGCCTTAGAAAAAATTCTGAGATATGGTTTAAGGGTATGAAGAATATTTTTTAGCTGGGCGTGGTGGCTCACGCCTGTAATCCCAGCACTTTGGGAGGCCCGGGCGGGCGGATCACAAGGTCAGTAGATCAAGACCATCCTGGCTAACATGGTGAAACCCCGTCTCTACTAAAAATAAAAAAAAACAGCCGGGTGTGGTGGCAGGCGCCTGTAGTCCCAGCTACTCGGGAGGGCAAGACAGCTTGATTCTAGACAAGCTAGAATCACTTGAACCCGGGAGGCAGAGGTTGCAGTGAGCCGAGATTGCGCCACTGCACTCCAGCTTGGGTGACAGAGCGAGACCCGGTCTCAAAAACAAAAACAAAAGAAAAAAAAGAAAAATATTTTTTAGAGCAATTGACTTATGCTGCCAAGCTACCCTCCAGAAATGCACTGTAAATACACTCCTAAAAGCTGGATTCATCCATGTCTTCTAAATAGCCTCTTTGAGTCCGCAAGCAGTAGTGTATCTGAGTCTTTAGGAGAAAGATTGTGGCTTTCAATTTTACGGAAAGTTACCAAAGCTATGCTGTTCTTCGTAGATGGAATTTTCAAACCAGGAGTACAGAATGTAGGTACCAAAGGAGAATTGGTATACTCGGCATCTGAAAGACACATAAAATGGTCACAGAAAATTGTAACTATAGTATACTTAACTGGACAGGAAAAAAAATCTCATATTCACATATGTAATTACCATTAGCACTAATAAAATTCAGCAAGGATGCAAGAGCAATACACAATAACAAACAGTTGTAATGTATACTAAACATAAAAGCAACAAACTATTACACATATAATTTGAAAAAAGATACTTTTCACGTAGCAACAAAGACAAGATACCTACAAATGTATCTATTAAAAATGGTGTAAAACCTTTATGGAGAAAATTATCAAACTTCTGACAAAGGAGGAGGAAGAGGGAGAACAGGTCACTTGCCTTCCAAGATAGCAGGAGTTACTCCAAAGGTACAATAGTTAAAAACAGTGTAACATTAACCAGGGATGGAAAAATTAAAGTTAAGAACAAGAGAGACCCATGCATATACAGACAATTGCTATCTAGGACACATAGTATCATCGAGGCAACCTTAAAAAAACAACAAAGAGAAAAGGTAAATGTTAGAAAAATGATCTAACTGGCAAAATATTTTAAGTCTAAAAATCATCAAGTGCTGGAAAAGATGGAGAAACAGGAACTCAACATCACTAGTGAGAAGATAAATCTTAACAGCCACTCTTAGCTGACTATTCAGCATTTTCTAGAATAAGTAAAAATATGCATGCCCTTTGACCTGGCAATTCTACTAGATGAGAAATATACATATGCACTACGGAAAATTTCCTTAGGGCACTGCCTATAATAATAAAAAATAAAAACATTACCTCTTAATCAGCAAATGAATATGGCTCATATATACAGTAGAATACTATTTATCAATTAAAAAGGATGAAGTGCTTTGGGAGGTCAAGTGCTTTGGGCGGATCACTTGAGTCCAGGAGTTTGAGACCAGCCTGGGTAACATGGTGAAACCCCTCTACCAAAAAAATACAAAAATTAGCTGGGCATGGTGGTGTACGCCTATAGTCCCTGCTACGTTGGGGGCTGAGGTGGGAGGATTGGTTGAGTCCAAGAGGCAGAGGCTGCAATGAGTAGTCTACAACTGTGACCAGCCTGGGCAACATGGCAAATCCCCATCTATACAAAAAATACAAAAATTAGCTGGACGTTGTGGTGTGTGCCTATAGTCCCAGCTACTTGAGAAGATTGCTTGAGCCTGAGAAGCTGAGGCTGCAGTGAGCCAAGATCATGCCACTACACTCCAGCCTGGGCAACAGAGTAAGACCCTGTCTCAAAGAAAACAAAACAAAAAAATCATAAAACTCTAGGATTTTTAAATCTTGCTTTTTCATGAACACCAATGTTTTCATGTTTGCTGGGACAAATATGAAAACAATGTATGAAAATTTTCTAAGTTACAGAGCTATTCAAAAGAAACCAAAATTTAAAATGACAGCTGAGGTATTCTGTGTGTGGTTTATATAAAAAAGATAATGTACAACTCTAATCAATAGGTTAAAAGAAAAAGTACCATGGCTCTACATCAAAAGGTTGGTAAATAAATATATATGTTTCAAATCAAAATGTTAAAAACAAGCTGACAAATACTGAATATAATCAATAGTATTAAAAACATACCAGAAAATTTTCTTTCTCTTGAACAAAATCATGCTGAATGAAATGGTACTTAATGTAATCCAACATTAGGAATTAAACAGATGAAGAAAAGTATTAGAATGTCTAAGATGATGAAATCAATTTTGTTCAAAGATAGTTTGGGAAAAATGTTCCTGAGAAGTAACTTGATTCTTATACTTACCACTTTTTTCCAGCTGCTGGATAGTGGAGCTGGGAGTGGCAAAAACATTATCATTGGGCCTGGATTCTGTATCTGTGGCCTCCTCACTGGTGTGATTCATAGGGAAATTACAAGGTTAAAAAAGTTAACATCCAATCTCTTGGAAAAAATTTAACCTTACTAAATATCAAGTTAGGACAAATATTCAGTTATGCTTTATGGTATAGAAGTCCCATGAAACAAATTCATATATATCCATGGTATAAAATGGTTAAGGACCATTAACTTCAACTTATTAGTTCAAAAAAGGAACTATGTAGCTCATGGGGCTTCAAAATCCTAAAGTGGAATTTTATAACTGGGATACATATATAGATTAACAACTTGCCATTTTTTTAAGACTAAAATGACTGATCCTGTCATCTGATTATCATTGTCCTAGACAATTACACAGATGTCTGTAAAATAGTTATAAAGAGAATATCACTGAATACAAGATAGTTCAGGATTGATTTTCACTTATAAGTTTCCAGTTTTGAATTTAAACACAATGACCCATGCTGTCTTTAACATCTTGTGCAAACATTTTTTTTTTTTTTCTGAGACAGGGTCTCGATCTATTCCCAGGCTGAAGTGCAGTGGTGCAATCTCAGCTCATTGAAACCTCCACCTCCCAGTTTCAAGTGATTCTCCTACCTAAGCCTCCCCAGTAGCTGGGACTATAGGCACACACCACTGTGCCTGGCTAATGTTTTTGTATTTTTTTGGTAGAGACAGGGTTTCACCATGTTGGCCAGGCTGGTCTCAAACTCCTGACCTCAGGTGATCCACCCACCTTGACCTCCCAAAGTGCTGGGATTACAGGTGTGAGCCACCATGCCTGGTCATTGTGTAAACATTTTTTTAAAGTGTATATACAGTATGGCAAAAGAATATATGTTGTATAAAATCTCTAAAAATAAAAGGGCTGGGCATAGTGGCTTATGCATGTTGTGGGGCCAAAGTGGGAGGATCTCTTCAGGCTAGGAGTTGGAGACCAGGCTGCGCAACATAGCAAGACCCCATCTCTACCAAAAATAAAAAATATTAAAATTAGCTGGGAGTTGCAGCACATAACTGTAACCTCAGCTACAAAGGAGGCCGAGGTGGAAGAACCACTTGAACCCAGTTCATGGTTGCGGTGAGCTACCATCCTGCCACTGCACTCTAGCCTGGGTGTTGTGAATGTTTCATGGAAAGAGGTGGTTTTCAAATGTCTAAAACCTTTTACCCAGTCATTTTACCTCTAGGAAAACCCAACAAATATTTTGGCACAGTAGTATTTATTACAGCTTATTTACAATAGGGGAAAATTGGAAAGAACCAAAATAGGACAGTGAGACCCTGTCTCTAAAAATAAAAGAAAGAAAGAGAGAAAGAAAAACTACTACTAGTACCTGTGTAGTCCCCTGTGGAAGCTTCCCAACTTGGTACCCATCTCTGCCCCACAGAGGTAAATTTCTATCTAGATTTGCTTCGTACTTTAACTACTTATTTGTGTACTCTAAATATAATTTTTGTGCTTTTGAACTATAAATGAAATAATAGTGTTTTATATCTATATAACTGCACACTTTATTTTCCTTGAATGTGTTCATTTAAGTAAAATTTCATAGAGGCTTTTATATACACTGGCAACTTTCCCTAAGATGGATTCACCAATGGCCACCAGCATTATAAAAGCATTTTCTTATGTCTTTATCAACACTGAATATAACCTGTCTTTTTTGGTATTCTCTCTCTTAACATTAACAAACCTAGTTAAAACTTGGAAATAAAAACGTGCATCTGGATAGTTGAAAAATGACATCTTATTTTTGTATTTGAATTTCCTTCATTACCTGTAAGGCTAAAAGTGTTCATATGCTTATTGGTCAATTGTATTACTTCTGTTTTTTTATCTTGAGATAGAGTCTCACTCTGTCACCCAGACTGGAGTGCAGTGGCATGATCTCGGATCACTACAGCCTCTGCCTCCAGGGTTCAAGTGATTCTCCTACCTCAGTCGACTGAGTAGTTGGGACTGCAGGTGCCCAGCTAATTTGTGTATTTTTAGTAGAGCCAGGGTTTCACCATGTTGGCCAGGCTGGTCTCAAACTCCTGACCTCAAGTGATCCACCCACTTCGGCCTCCCAAAGTGTTGGGATTAGAAGTGTGAGCCACTGCGCCCAGCCTCTTCTTTTGTTAATTCGTGTCTTTGCTCGTTTTAAAAATGGGATGTCTTTCACTAATTACTACATATGGGTTTTTAAAACATGTTATGTAATTATATAACATATATATGCACATATATTATATCATGTTATAAAACTTTTCCTTTGTCATTGGTCAAACAGTTTATGATACAGTAGTTTAAATTTTATATGTGATCAAATCTATCCATATTCTTTACTATGATTTCTAGCTTTGATGTCATGCCATAATTTAACTACTTCCTACTGTTAACTATTTTGGTTCTTTCCAACTTTCCCCATTTAAAATAAGGCTATAATAAATACTACTGTGCCAAAATGTTTGTCAAGTTTTCGTAGAGGTAAAATGACTAGGTAAAAGGTTTTAAAAACTTAAGAATCAACTCTTTCCGGCCGGGCGCGGTGGCTCAAGCCTGTAATCCCAGCACTTTGGGAGGCTGAGATGGGTGGATCACGAGGTCAGGAGATGGAGATCATCCTGGCTAACCCCCGTCTCTACTAAAAAATAAAAAAAAAAAAACTAGCTGGGCGAGGTGGCGGGCGCCTGTAGTCCCAGCTACTCGGGAGGCTGAGGCAGGAGAATGGCGTAAACCTGGGAGGCGGAGCTTGCAGTGAGCTGAGATCTGGCCACTGCACTCCAGCCTGGGTGACAGAGCGAGACTCCGTCTCAAAAAAAAAAAAAAAAAAAAAAAAAAAAAGAATCAACTCTTTCCATGAAACATTCCTGACAATGATATATGAACACACATTTCATTGTACTCTTCTAACAGTTAAAACAAATATGCTTTGTACCATTTTGATAGACAAAACTGTTTTTAAAATATTTATTAGTCATATCTATTCCTGTCCATTGCCTAGGTAGCTTTTGGTGTGTTAGTGGTTTCTTGTCAGTATGTGTGTAACATATTATTTTCTTGGTTTATTTTTTATGCAATTATTTTCTTGGTTTATTTTTTATCCTTTATATGCTTCATGTTCCAGTCTATTTATTTTATTTTTATTCTTTTAGAGGTGGGATCTAGCTATGTTGCCCAGTCTGGTTTCAAACTCCCAGGCTCATGTGATTCTCCCACCTCAGCCTCCCAAGCAGGTGGGACTAAGGCATGAATCACCATGCCTGACTCATGTTCCCTCCATATTTCTGAATGGAACAAACAAATATTGTTAAGATGTCGAATCATTACCACTTTCTTGCAATTACAAACATATTGATAGTTGCAGTATACCCTTTCACTGTTTAAACAGCTAATTTATCTATATTTTCTTTTACTTTTTGAATAATTTATCTAAATATTTATCTTTTTGATCTATCTTTATTTTATATTGACTCGAGGTAGAGAAGACTTGTTTTTTTTCCAGTTAACTAATTGTTCCAGTATAATTTACTGAATCATCTTTACTTCAAAAATACCTTCAGGATCACTTGAAGCCAGGACTTAAGAGACTAGCCTAGGCAACACAGTGAGACCCTGTCTCTACAGAAAGTTAAAAAAAAAAAAAATTAGTCAGGCCTGGTGGTCCACACCTGTCGCCCCACCTACTACTTGGGAAGCTGAGGCAGGAGGACTGCTTGAATCTAGGAAGTCGAAGCTGCAGTGAGCTATGGCGATGCCTCTGCACTCCAACCTGGGTGACAGACTAAGAACCTGTCGAAAGAAAGGAAAGAAAAGAAAACAAAGAAAGAAAAGAAAAGAAATAGTTGCCCTATGTAACTATATAAAATATATATCTTCTATCAGTCTCTTACTTGAATTTTATTATTTCTATAAGTTTTTCATGTGATTTTCTTGAGTTGCCTAGGTACAAAATGGCCTAGAAGTGCAACACAGAAATATGTCTTATTTCCTATCTCATTACACTGGCCAGAGCATCAAGAATGATGTTAGGCTGGGCGTGGTAGCTCACACCTATAATCCCAGCACTCTGGGAAGCTGAGGCAGGTGGATTACTTGAGCCCAGGAGTTCAAGAGCAGCCTGGGCAACATGGCAAGACCCCATCTCTACTAAAAATAGAAAAATTAGTCAGGCGTGGTGGCTCATGCCTGTAGTCCCAGCTACTCAGGTGGCTGAGGCTCGAGAATCACTCGAACTCAAGAGGTGTAGGTTGCAGTGAGCTGAGATTGCCCTAGCGCAATCCAGCCTGGGAACAGAGCGAGACCTTATCTAAAAACAATGACAACAGCATGACATGACATGACATAACATTAGAAAGGATTCATCTAGAACACCATCCATGCCCAGAGCTTTTTGGAGCTTATTAACTGATAACCTTTTTTAATTTTTTTATTTTTGGAGAGAGTTTTGCTCTTGTTGTCTAGGCTGGAGTACAGTGGCTTGATCTCAGCTTACTGCAACCTCCACCTCCTGGGTTCAAACAATTCTGCTGCTTCAGCCTTCCAAGGAGTTGGGATTACAGGTGCCCACCACCAAACCCAGCTATTTTTTTGTATTTTTAATACAGACAGGGTTTCATCCTGTTGGCCAGGCTGGTCTTGAACTCCTAACCTCAAGTGATCCACTGTGCCTGTCCTGTTATCTGATAACTTTTTCAGTTTTCTTCTCTGATTACTGCTCTACCCAGGTTTTCAAGTCAATTTTTATCACTTTGTATTATTTTCCAAAACTTTATCTGAAATTTTCAAATTTCCCAATACTATACCCTATGATATTTTCTGATAGCTTAGAAAAATAAAAACAGAGGCCAGGCAGCGGCTCACGCCTGTAAACCCAGCACTTTGGGAGGCCGAGGCAGGTGGATCACTTGAGGCCAGGAGTTCAAGACCAGCCAACATGGTGAAACCCTGTCTCTACTAAAAATACAAAAATTAGCCAAATGTGGTGGCGTGCCCCTGCACTGCCAGCTACTTAGGTGGCTGAGGCACGAGAATCACTTGAACCCAGTGATGGAGGTTGCAGTGAGCTGAGATTGAGCCATTGCACTCCAGCCTGGGCGACAGAACAAGACCATCTCAAAAACAAAACAAAACAAAACAAAACACACAACACAGTCCTTAGTTCTTAGTTCTGTTATTTGTATTTATGTTTAGATAAGGACCAGTTCTTAGGTTTATCAATTCAACTCTTTTAAAAATCTTTTGGATTAAAATTTTATGTTATCTTTAGTGTTTCTTCTTTTCCCCAGAGTTGTGGGGTTTTCTGACTCTTTGACATGAATGTTTATTTTCTTTCTTTAATAGTAACAGTTTTTAATGGTAAGTATTGATCTTTAGACACTGCTTGGCTACTTTGATAAGTGGTACTTTCATTGTAACTCTCGCGGTTTTAATCACCATTTCCATGCTAATGGCTCCCAAATCTAGTTTAGCACTGACTTCTTCACTGAGCTTTAAACTGATATTAGAATGCCTAAGCATGAAGAGGCACTAACAATGTCAAAATCAACATGTAAACACATCACCTACCCCCCGTACTCCAGGTATTCTTCTCCTGTTCTTTCTAACATCATCCCAAGCAAGAAAACAGAAACTCGGGGTTTATCCTAGATCATCCTCTTTCCCCAAGTCTCCAGAGCAAATCAATCACAAGTTCTTACTAATTTTACCCCTTTAATTTTATTCCCTCTTTTCTATCCCTAAAAATACCATCTTTTTTTCAGGCCCTTATCACTTCTTCTATAGTCTCTCACCTGAAGAAACCGACGGCTCACACTTTATTGACAGTATTGGTGATTCGAGAAGATCTGTAATATAAAGTATCTGAAAACCTTACCACTAAATAACTTATTGATGTAACCAAACAGCACCTGTTCCCCTAAAACCTACTGAAATAAAATAAAATAAATATCTGAAAACTTTTTAAAGGAAAAATGTTGTCTGAAACATTATATTTCTTCTGGAAAAAAATCAATAAATACAAAAGGTTTAGAAAGCTAGAGAAAATTGCCATTTAACAGAGCTGCTTACCGTTTATTATTCCTCACATTTTTAAGTCCCATTGTGTAATCTTCATTTAAACACATAGTATATTCAGAGATACCAAAGTGTTCTAATTTAGGAGTTACACACTCAAAATCATCCATTTTTAGTGCACATTTTGGAGTTTTTAGTACTTTTACTAGTGATGGCTTGCTAGGTGGAGTTACAACTACAAGCTCTTCCTTATAGTTGTTCACTGCCTGTGGAGGGTTTGGTGGAACTTGGGATACCATGTACCGCTCAAGTCCAAAATCTGAAAGTTGTGGACTACGTGGAGACTTCTCAGAAATACAACTACTTGCAACAGGAGGATCAGAAAGATCATCTTTCACATCAGGCTTCTGAACATTTTCACAATTAGACAACTCTGGGTCAGAGTTAATGGCTTCTTGCTCGTGTACTAGGAGGAAAAATCAGAATATTCTGGTCAAACATCAAAACGGAAAATTTCATGTTTACAAAAACAATAGAAAACAGCTTATCTGAAATTTCCCAAATCAGCAAAAGTTCCGATTGTCTAAACATTTTATTTATTTATTATTTATTGAGACAGGGTCTCGCTCTGCCACCCAGGCTGGAGTACAGAGGTGTGATCACAGCTCACTGCAGACTTGACCTCCTGGGCTCAAGTGATCGTCCCATCTCAGCCCCTGGGGTAGCTGGGACTGTAGGTGTGCCACCATGCTCAGCTAAGTTTTAAATTTTTTTGTGGAGATGGGGTCTTATCATGTTGCCCAGGCTGGTGTCAAACTCCTGGGCTCAAATGAGCCTCCTGCCTTGGCCCCCAGAATGATGGCATTTCAGGCATGAGCCACCACACTCAGCTGAAATGCTATTTCAATTGTCCCTTTAATAAAGTTCCGACATGTATCTCTTGTGCACCCATATCCCATTGTGATTATACATTAGAGGAGGAAAGCAAGTTAAAGTGTTACAAGATGAAAAATTAATATTCACAAATAAAAGTCCAGTTTTCTTATATCCTTAATGTGATTTACTAGTTTTTCTCAATATTTTCTTTTTTTCTCTCAGACTTTAGTGAGCATCAGAATATATTTTCTGTAGCTCTGACTGTTGCCCAGGCTGGAGTGCAGTGGCACTATCGCAGATCCGATGTAGGCAACAATGGGGGAGGACCCAGGTTGGGGAGAACAATGAACAATTGTTCTGAGAAAAGGCTAATCACAAACAACCTGCAGGTACTTTTTTTTTTTTTTTAATTTTTGAGTCAGGGTCTCACTTTGCCCCCCAGGCTGGAGTGCAGTGGCAGTCTCGGCTCACTGCAGTCTCAACTTCCAAAGCTGGGACTACAGGCATGCACCACCATGCCCAGCTAATTTTTTGTATTTTTGGTAGAGACAGGGTTTCACCATGTTGCCCAGACTGGTCTAGAACTCCTGAGTTCAAGTGAACCGCCCATCTCGGCCTCCCAATGTGCTGGGATTACACGTGAGCCACCATGCCTGGTCACAACAATCCTGCTCTGTACCTAGCCCACCTCCAGTATGACCCTATAAAACTTCCCTTCAGCCTCTGCCTCTTTGCAGACAGCCTCTTCTCTGCTGTACTGCCCACTGCAACCTTGCAATGTATTTTCATACTTTAATAAATCTGCCTTTCTCTACCTACCACTGTCTTGGTAAATTCCTTTACCACCTGTGACACTAGCCCCAGCTAGTCGCACACACAACACTGGGCTCAGGTGATTCTCCTACCTCAGCCTCCCAGGCAGCTGGTACTATGGGTGTGTGCCACCATGCCCAGATAATTTTTTGTACTTTTTGTAGAGATAGGGTTTCGCCATGTTGCCCAGGCTGGTCTTGAACTCCTGGGCTCAAGTGATCCACCCGCCTCAGGCTCCCAAAATGTTGGGATTATAGGCGTGAGCCACTGCACCTGGCCTGAAACTATATTTTAAAATTTCATGACAGTATGGAATCAACTGTGTTCCATATTTAACACAGAATATGATATTATTTTAGATTCATAACTTCCAGATGCCCAAGCTAAACAGCAAAGACTGCTATATAAAGATAAGTTTTTATCCTAAGTTAGTCTGGAACACCTATATCAAACACCTAGTTGAGAAAAATAATAGGGGAGCATTTCAAAGATATACAGTTTCTCAACCATTAATAGGTTATATACTTTTTTTTTTTCTGAGATGGAGTCTTGCTCTGTCACCCAGGCTGGAGTGCGGTGGTGCAATCTCAGCTCACTGCAACCTTTGCCTCCTGGGTTCAAACAATTCTCCTATATGAGCCTAAGGAGTAGCTGGGATTACAGGCACACACCACCACACCCAGCTAATTTTTGTATTTTTAGTAGAGACAGGGTCTCACCATGTTGGCCAGGATGGTCTCGAACTCCTGACCTCAGGTGATCTGCCCGCCTTGGTCTCCCAAAGTGCTGGGATTACAGGCATGAACCACAGTGCCTGGCCGGTTATATACTTTCTTGTTTGTTTTGTTTGGTTTTAAAAGCCTTGAGTTTAAATCTCTGAAGTTTCATATTTTGATTTCATAGTTTTTGTTCCTTTGAAGAGATTCTGAGTCACTGAGTTGTTTTGGCATTATGCTTTCTGTAAATTTTGAGAAATGTTACAAGAGTTGCCAAAAACCTACTGATGTATTTATCACAGGACTGTCATTTAAGAGAGTAATAAATCATCATTATCAGTATTCCATAGGGAGATATTATTATCCCCATCTTATAAGTGAGGAAAAAGCAACTTACAGAAATCACCCAAGGTCACACATGTAGTAACTGGTGGAGCCAGTATTTGAATCTATGGCTCTTTCACAGCAAAGTCAACTAAATTTTATGATACCATGTGGGGGGTGGTGGTGGTATGGGTTGTTTGTATGTAGGTAGGTATGTATGTATGTATGTATTTTATTTATTGAGACAGGGTCTCGCTCTGTCATGCAGGTTGGAGTATAGTGGCGTGATAATAGCTTACTGCGGCCTTGAACTCCTGGGCTTAAGGGATCCCTTCTGCCTCAGCCTCCCAAATAACTAGGACTCCAAGTATGCACCATCATGCCCAACTAATTTTGTAAAACAATTTTTTGTAGAGACAAGAGTCTCATTATGTAGCCCTGGCCTCAAGTGATCCTCCTGCCTCAGTCTCCCACACTGCTGGAATAACAGGCATGAGCCACTGTGCCCATCTCACATGGACTGTTTAACTTACCTGCCACACACATCCTCAATATATACTTGTTCGGCCAGGCGCGGTGGCTCAAGCCTGTAATCCCAGCACTTTGGGAGGCCGAGATGGGCTCGATCACGAGGAGATCGAGACCATCCTGACCTACACGGTGAAACCCCGTCTCTACCAAAAAATACAAAAAAAAACCTAGCCGGGCGAGGTGGCGGGCACCTGTAGTCCCAGCTACTCGGGAGGCTGAGGCAGGAGAATGGTGTAAACCCGGGAGGCGGAGCTTGCAGTGAGCTGAGATCCAGTCACTGCACTCCAGCTTGGGCAAGAGAGCGAGACTCCATCTCAAAATAAATAAATAAATAAATAAATAAATAAATAAATAAATAATAAAATAAAATAAAATAAAATAGTTTTTCAATTTAATAATAGAAATGAAGACACTGAAGTTAGTCATTCAGAGGTATGGGCATAACAATAGCAGTTAATAATTAACCTTAGGTGACTGACATGCTAGGCACTGCTCTAAGCAAACTTTATCTTATTTAATCCTTACACAATCTCATGAGATAGATACACTAAATATTCCCACTTTACAAATGAGAAGCTAAAGCACAAGATTAAGTAACTTGACAAAGATAATAATACAGCTATTAAGTGGTGGAATACAGATTTGAACTCAGGCATTTTGGCTCCAAATTCTAAACCACTATGATAGACTGCCCTTCATTAAAATTTTAGAACCAAAAAATGACTTTGTCAAATTTTTATAGCCAATATCTCTTTCTACAGAAGAGAAAACTGTGAACAAGAAAAATGAAATAACATGCCTTTAGGTCTCTCAGCTTTTATTGGCAGGGCTAACTAGAAACCACCTATCCCAAGTTACGAAGATTTATCTTGTAGTTTTTCATTTAAATAGGCCATCTAAATGTGCTAAATATAGCATTGTGCTAGCTTTCATTTGGCATTTTGGAAAGGAAAGCAAGGACTGTCTTTATATTGCACCCCTGATTAGCACTCCAAAAGCATAGCACACAGTGAGAGTTGACTAAATGTTTATCAAATGAGCATCAGTAACGACAGAGCTAGAATTAAAAACCATGCCAAGCCTACAGTTGTCTTAGTTAATCATGCTGCCTTGTTTCTTCAATACTAAAACACATGCTATAAAATGAAGTTATTCAAACCTGAATTTTTCTTGGCACGTGGACTATATCCATACTTCTGGAAATACTCTCTTATTTTCATAATATCCATTGAATTTTTTTCCATTAGTACTTTTGTTGCCTTTATGAAATCAATGCCTTCTTGATTTTCCAATCTTGCTTTATCAAGAAGAATATTAACATCATCCTTTTATGAATAAAGAAAATACATTTTAATTTCTCTAACTTCTGACTAAATCTATTTAGGACCAAAAAATTACTCGCGACAGAAAAATCATAAATTAATATTGTAGGAGTGATACCTTTAGAGTCTGAACTTCTGAATGAAGGTCATATAAAATTCTCATTGGATAATCTTCAAAGTCTTCAATATGAATATTGAAAGAAAAAAAGTCCAATAAGTGTAAGGAAAAGGAGGAAGAAAAAGAATACTTAGTATACAATCATATACCTTATAATGACATTTTGCTCAATGACAGATCACATATGACAGTGGTACCATAAGATAATACCATATTTTTTACTGTACCTTTTATATGTTTAGATACACAAATACTTACCATAAGCTTACAGTTGCCTACAGTACTCAGTGCAGTCGCATGCTATACAGGTTTGTGGTCTGGGAACAACAGGCTACAACATATAGCCTACGTGTGCGGTAGGTCATATCATGTACGTTTGTGTTACATATGCTCTATGATGTTTGCACAATAACAAAATTGCCTAACATTGCTCAGAACGCATCCCCATTAAGTAACATGACTGTATAACATACATACTGAAAAGCATACAAATCCTAAGTACGTAGCTTAATGAACTTTATAAAATGAGCATACCTGCATAACTGGCCCTCAGCTCAAGAAACAGAAGTAGAAACAGAGCCTTATTAGAACTCTTGAAGCCCTCTTATAGCCTCTCCCTTCCCCCACAAGGGTAAACTTTACCCTGATTTCTTTTTCTTTTTTTGAGGCAGAGTTTTGCTCTTGTTGCCCAGGCTGGAGTGCAATGGTGCGATCTTGGCTCACTGCAACCTTTACCTCCTGGGTCCAAGCTATTCTCCTGCCTCAGTCTCCCAAGAAGCTGGGACTACAGGTGTGCGCCACCACGTCTGGCTAGTTTTATATTTTTAGTAGAGACAGGGTCTCACCATGTTGGTCAGGCTGGTCTTGAACTCCTGACCTCAAGTGATCCACCCACCTCGGCCTCCCAAAGTGCTAGGATTATAGGTGTGAGCCACCACACCCGGCCACCTTACCCTGATTTCTAACACCATGAAGTAGTTTTACCACTTACAAATTTGATGTAATGGACTCATACAATACGCACTCTTTTGCGACTGGCTTCTTTCACTCAACTGTTACATTCTTCCAAGTTCAAATCTAATCCATGTTCATTACTGTGTAGTATTTCCACTGCGTGATACCAGATTTATTTATTCTACTGTTGAAACACTTTGGATTGTGCCTAGTTTGGAACTATTATGAATACTCTTGCTTTGAATTTTCTAGAACATGTCTTTGGTACCAATGTATTCATATTTCTGTATGTTAAGAGACTTAGAAAAAGTGCTGGATTACATGTTACGCATATGTTCAACTTCAGTAAATACTGCTAGTTTTCCAACGTGATTTTTACAGTTTGCACTCCCACCAGCAGTGCATAAGAAGTGCATTTGTTCCACATCTTTCCAAACACTTGGTAATTTTCTCTTTTTCATTTTAGCTATCCTGGTGGGTATGCAACTATACTACATTGAGACTTAATTTTCATTTCCTTGATTACTAATGAAATTAATGTCTTTTCACATTCCTAATGGCCATCTGAAGATAATTTTTTTTTTTTTTCCTGAGATGGAGTCTCACTCTGTTGCTCAGGCTGGAGTGCAGTAGCTGATCTCAGGTCACTGCAACCTCCACCTCCGGGGTTCAAGTGATTCTCCCACCTCAGCCTCTTGAGTAGCTGGGATTACAGGCGCCCACTACTATGCCCAGTTAATTTTTAGTAGAGACGAGGTTTCACCACGTTGGCTAGGCTGGTCTTGAACTCCTAACCTCGGGTGATCCACCCACCTCGGCGTCCCAAAATGCTGGGATTACAGGTGTGAGCCACTGTGCACAGCCGAATCTTTTATTTTTTTCTGGGACGGTGTCTTGCTCTGTGGAGGAGGCTGGAGTCCAGTAGCATGATCTTGGCTCACTGCAAGCTCTGCCTCCCAGGTTCATACCATTCTCCTACCTCAGCCTCCTGAGTAGCTGGGACTATAGGCGTCCACCACCATACCCGGCTAATTTTCTGTATTTTTAGTAGAGACGGGGTTTCACCGTGTTAGCCAGGATGGTCTCGATCTCCCGACCTTGCGATCCGCCTGTCTTGGCCTCCCAAAGTGCTGGGATTGCAGGCGTGAGCCACTGCGCCCGGCCCAAATCTTCTAATTTTAAGGCAGTCCTACTTATCCATTTTTTCCCTTATGACAAGCACTTTTTGATTTCTATTTTTTAAATGTTTGCCAATGACAAGATATGTGTCTCTCTCACATTTTCTTGTAAGAGCTTTATGGTTTTAACTTTTGCATTTAGAGCTACACCCATCTGGAATTGATTTCTGTATATGGCATGTCGTAAGAATCAAGATCCACTCTTTTTCTCCATATGGATATTCAATTGACCTGGCACAACTTACTGAAAAGGCATCCTTTACCCACTGCATGTCACCTTTGTCATTAATCAGTGGGTGTTACATATGATGTAAAAGTAGCTTTTTCGTTTAACTTTTTTGAGACAGGTTCTCACTCTGTCACCCAGGCTGGAGTACAGTGGTGCAGTCATGGCTCACTGCAGCCTTGACTTCCTGGACTCAAGCAATCCTCGCACCTCAGATTCCCAAGTAGCTGGGGACTACAGGCATGCACCACCCCACCCAGCTAATTTAAAAGAAGTGGAGTTATTTTTTGTTTCTTTTTTGAGACAGAGTATCACTGTCACCCAGGCTGGAGTGCAGTGCCCTCATCTCAGCTCACTGCAACTGCCACCTCCCAGGTTCAAGTGATTCTCGTGCCTCAGCACTGCCCCCACCCAGTAGCTGGGATTACAGGTGTGTACCACCACACCCAGCTAATTTTTGTATTTGTAGTAGAGATGGGGTTTCGCCATGTTGGCCAGGCTAGTCTCAAACTCCTGGCCTCAAGTGATCTGCCCACCTCAGCCCCGCAAAGTGCTAGGATTACAGGCCTGAGCCACCACACCAGGCCTAAAAGTAGTAAAATAATTATATTTCCCTTTTCTAAAACACATCTCCCTTGAAGGTCTCCTTCTTCTTCCACCTGTTAAAAGTTGACCAGTTTTCATTAGGGAAATGCAAGTCAAAACCACAATCAGATTCCACTTCATACTCACTAGAATAAGTACAGCAAAAAAGACAGATAATAAAAAACATTGGTGAGGGTGTGGAGAAACTGCAACCCTTATTCATTGCTAGTGCAAATGTAAAATGATGCAGACACTTTGGAAAAACAATCTGGCAGGTCCTCAAGAAGTTAAAACTATATGACCTAGCAATTTCACCTCTAGATATATGCTCAAGAGAATTAAAAACACATTAACACAAAAACTTACATGTGAATATTTACAGTAGCATTATTCATAATAGCCAAAAAGTGGAAACAACTCAAATGTCTATCAACTAGTGAATAAGGAAAATGTAGTAGGACCATACAATGGAATATACTCAGCAATAAAATGGAATGAAGTGATGACACATGCGACAACATAGAGGAACACTGAGACATTACACTAAGTGAAATAAGTTAGTCACAAGACTATAAATTCTATAATTCCATTTATATGAAATGTCCAGAATAGACAAATCTATAGAAACAGAAAGTGGATTCATGGTTGCTTAAAGCTGGTGTGGTGGATGGGGTTAAGGGGAGTGACCGTTAAGGGGCACAGGGATCTCTTCTAGGAGTGATGAAAATCTAAACTTTTTGTTGTGATAATTGCACAACTCTGAATATCTTAATAACCACTAAATTGTATCCTTTAAATGGTTTTATGGCATGTGAATTATATCTCAAAGATATTTAGAAGTCAACCAACTGAATTATTCATCACTGTGATCATAAAAGGTGAGATTGTTTGTGACCATGTTCTCTAATTACAATTCCACATTTTCTATAATGCATATGGGACAGGAATTGAATGATTATCCCAAGTTTTCCTTGTAAACACAGAAGAAAATGCAGATTATGCAGAGTCAATATGTCGGTAGGAAAATAAATTAGGATGAGCTTTATGGAAAGTCTCTCTCTCTCATATATATATGAGAAAGTATATATATATAATGTATATAAATATACATAAAAATAAACAAATATAAATATATATTAAATATATAAAAATATATGTAAAATATATATAAAATATATAAATATACAAAAAACATAAATATATTATATAGCTGTCTTATATAAATACATGTAAATATATGTGATATATAAATATACAAATATATAAAAATATATATGAAATAAATATATAAAAATATATAATATATATAAAATGTATATTATATGTAAAATACATAAATATATATAATATAAATATATAAAATGTATAAATATATAAAACATATTAAAATGGAGATTTTATACATTTTATATATAGATTTTATATATATTATATATGTATATTATATATATATATAAAATCTCCAGGCTGGGCCCAGTGGCTCACATCTGTAATCCCAGCACTTTGGGAGGCCGAAGCGGATCACTTGAGGTCAGAGTTTCAGACCAGCCTGGCCAACATGGTCAAACCCTATCTCTAGTAAAAACACAAAAATTAGCTGGGCATGGTGGCGTGAGTCAGTAATCCTAGCTACTTGGGAGGCTGAAGCAGGAGAATCGCTTGAACCTGGGAGGTGGAGGTTGGAGGAGTCGAGATCGCGCCACTGCACTCTAGCCTGGGCAACAGCGAGACTCCATCTCGGGGGGGGGAAAAAAAAAAGAAAAAAAAGAAAAAGCATCCAAAAATGTCAATGCAATTTTGTGTCTATTATTGTACTATCACAAAATCAAATAAAAACAAAAAAGCCCTAAAATAAGAATGGTAGAAAAGCTACTAAAATATTAATAGTGGTGTGGCATGACCCATGGATACGGGGTATTTATTTTCTTTCTACTTTTCCATAACTTAAATTTCCTACAATGCACATATGTTGATTTTACAGTCACAGAAATAGACATTTTTTTTCTTTTTCCTTTTTTTTTTTTTTTTTTTTTGAGACAGAGTCTCTCTCTGTCGCCCAGGCTGGAGTGGACTGGCGCGATCTCGGCTCACTGCAAGCTCCCCCTCCCGGGTTCCCGCCATTCTCCTGCCTCAGCCTCCCGAGTAGCTGGGGGCTAATTTTTTTTGTATTTTCAGTAGAGACGGGGTTTCACCGTGTCAGCCAGGATGGTCTCGATCTCCTGACCTCGTGATCCGCCCGCCTCAGCCTCCCAAAGTGCTGGGATTACAGGCGTGAGCCACCGTGCCCGGCAGAAATCGGCATTTTCAAGTGACTGGAGATCATTCATTACATAATTAAAGTAAAAGTCTGCAGGGTGTAATATTTTAAAGCACATTACAATTATGACATTTATGAAATAATTCCAAAATCTGAACTACTGTTTCAACAATTTTAAAAATCTCCAATAAAAAGGGGAATGGTGAATTTTGCTTTATTTATACACATTTTTTTTAAACCCCAGCACTGTCGAGTACTAGTGTTTGTGTTGGTAATACGGTTTAGTGGGAAAAACACAGAGGTTTACTGCAACTGTTGACCACCTGGGTGAGAAAAAAGTCACTATATGTGTAAAGTATCGTGTAAAGAACAACGTTAAATAGCTTGATTCTAAGAGAATCTGTTTAGGTTTACATGGTATTTCATTGACAAGCACATATATTGTATGTGACGAAAGCATATCACGTATAAATTAGTATATGTATTATGAGCTCAATCTGTCAACTTAGGTTCTTATTCTTAAGCGCTGCTGTCTCTGTTCACAACATAAATAGTGCTACTTTCATTATCTCAGGAGAGCCTTGGGGTTGTACATGGGACTAAAACGGACACGCGATAAGGGTTCCTAGGAATAAACCATAAACAGGCCCGGGAGCTATGCTAACGCCAAACGCAGAGCATGGAGACACTCAGCACCCACTCTGCGCCTTGGAGGCGGCCGTCCACGCCGTCAGTGCCTGGCGGTTTCCGCGGGGCGCACCCTCTACTCGCCACGCCCCTCCGCCCGCGGCGCACCCCGCGCACCGTGCCCTGGCAGCCCGCCTCACGCACCGCTTTCCTCTCCGTCCAGCGCTCGCTGCAGCCGGGCCGTCTCGCAGTCCAGCGTGCTGGCCAGAGACCGCAGCTTCCCACAGAAGCTCCGGATAGGGTCCATGCTGAGCACAGCCGGGAAGGACTCCAGGCGTACGCGGACACCACCACTCAGCTCACAGCCTCCCGCCACTAGTTTGAAACGGCGCCGGAGGCGTCCTTGGCTCTGCGCAGACGCAGTCCTCTCTCGCGAGAGCTGAAGCCTCTCGCCGAGGCGCCAGGAGCGAGACGGGTGCGCTAACGCCGCAGCGTCTGCCGGCAGCCGCGGAGTCCTGAGGAACCGACCGGTGAGTACCTGTGCGAATTCAGTCCTGTAGGAAGCGCCTTGTTCGCCTGCTGGCCTTAGCTGGGCTCCCCGCTTCTCTGGAGGGGAGGCGGTGCGGGAACTCCCGTAGGCGTGAGCTGGAGCGCGCGCTCGCTGCTCTCTCCAGGTCCGGCCGCGCCATTTCGCGTCCGCAAAGCCCGTCCCTCTCTTCCGCAGGCACCATGTTCCTGACTGCGCTCCTCTGCCGCAACCGCATTCCCGGCCGTCAGTGGATCGGGAAGCACCGGCGGCCGCGGTTCGTGTCGTTGCGCGCCAAGCAGAACATGATCCGCCGCCTGGAGATCGAGGCGGAGAACCACTACTGGCTGAGCATGCCCTACATGACCCGGGAACAGGAGCGCGGCCACGCCGCGGTGCGCAGGAGGGAGGCCTTCGAGGCCTTAAAGGCGGCCGCCACCTCCAAGTTCCCCCCGCATAGATTCATTGCGGACCAGCTCGACCATCTCAATGTCACCAAGAAATGGTCCTAACCCTGAGTCGTCACCCTTGGATTTTATGGATCACGGGGCTGCCCTTCTTTACCTGGTCCTGGAACTGAAAAACTGTAGCTACTGTGAAAATGAGCCTTTGGAGCAGTGTTTATTAAAACAAACAAACATGAGTAGTCTGCATATAGAATATCTAGGGCTCTAAACCCTCCAATACTTAAAAGTGTAATCGCTGTCCTGTCGTTTCTTTAGTCTGATAGGAAGATACGGATTTCCTCAGTCACATGATATTTTGAAGGAAAGCTGCAATAAAGCCACAGACTATGATTTGAGGTCTTTGCTTAAGTGTGAGATACTTGATAGGGGTTTATCATGCAACATTAGTTTGCTTACCTTAAGAATTGCCCAAAAATAAAAGGAAAGACGAGCTTTTTAGTTAAACATACTCCCACAAACATTTTCTGGGATTTTACTACTAAAAGTGGACATTGAAGCGAAGTAAAAGAGGCCGGGTGCGGTGGCTCACGCCTGTAATCCCAACACTTTGGGAGGCCAAGGCGGGCGGATCCCTTGAGGTCAGGAGTTCAAGACCAGCCTGGCCAAGGTGGTAAAGCCCTGTCTCTACTAATACAAAAAAAAAAAAAAAATTAGCTGGGCATGTTGGTGCAGGCTTGTAATCCCAGCTACTTGGGAGGCTGAGGTGGGAAGATCGCCTGAATGAACCTCATGCCTCAGAGGCAGAGGTTGCAGTGAGGTGGAGGCTGCAGTGAGCCAAGATCATGCTACTGCACTCCAGCCTGGGAGACTGCATCTGAAAAAAGGAAAATAAACGAAGTAAAGATATTTATCAGAACTGTTACAGGAAGGTGTATTTTGTAGCTATTTAAGGCGGGGTGCTGTAGTGCCTGCATGTAGTCCCAGGTATTCGGGAAGATTTCTTGAGTCCAACTTGGGCAACATTGGGAGACCCTATCTAAAATAATAATAATAATAATATATGGCCAGTCGGGTGGCTCACGCTTGTAATCCCAGCACTTTGGGAGGCTGAGGCGGGCAGATCACTTGAGGCCAGGAGTTCAAGACAGGTCCAGCCAACATGGTGAAACCCTGTCTCTACTGAAAATATGCAAAATTAGCCGGGTGTGGTGGCGAGGCCTGAGAATTGCTTGAACCTGGGAGGTGGAGGTTGCAGTGAGACAAGATTGTGCCATTGCACCCCAGCCTGGGCGACAGAGCGAGACACTGTCTCAAAAAGTAAATTAGTAAGTGATTATAATAATAGCTCTGAGCTTTTCATACCTGGAAATAGTGGCAGCTGATACTGTTGAGGAGAAAGGTGGAGAAAGATTGCCAGGGGGACCTGCTTAAGCGTCACTACTACTATTACTCTAGTCTATGTATGAGTCAGAAACCTTGGAATTTGGAATTTGTAAAATGGTAATGGTTAACTTGAATCTCAGAGGACAGTTGAGAAGCAAAAGGATGCCAAAATAAAACCACAAGTATGAAGAAATTAAAGGCAACAAATGAGAAGATAGGCATTGTAATGTACAATTATCATCTTTAAGTTTTAAAATAATCTTGTAAAATAGATACCTCCACACTACAGATGTGAAACTGAAGCTCAGAAATGTCAGCAACATTCCCATAAACGGTAAATGTATAACATAGGACTAGGCTTACTAAAGACCATGCTTGTTTTAACATAGCACTCTGGGTGCTGCAAATAAAATACAGCCATTGGCCAAGGCAGTGTCGTTGAAACATGTAACTTTTCTCTTTGAAAACCTATAATTGTTAGCATCATAGCCATCATAGTCCTTGATCTTTTTTGTCAACAGAGGCTAATTGGCCACCCAGAGATGTTCATAATTACACGTAACAAAACATCAATGCCAACCTGGGCATTATGCACAGTCCCTGTCTCATATCTGTAATAGAGGTCCTGGGGCTCTGTTTTATCCAGTTGTTGACTGAGGGAAAGTGCCATTTCTCAACCTTGCCTGAGTAGGCAGGAAAAGTTTCATTAAGAAGTGATCCTTGAACAAATTCATAGTTTGCCTGGCCAGCAAGTGGGTGGCAGGAATTACAGGCAGAGGGAACGATCTTGTGATTGTTTAAGAAGTTGATAGTATTTTAGTATTGTTACAGGGTAGGGTATTTGAGAATGGAGAAGAAAAGAGAGAAAAGGCTGAAGAAGTAGTCAGGAACTAGAACACAAAAGGTCTTGCATGACACTATAAGAAGTGTAGCTTTTATAAAAACGTATCAGCAATGTGGAGCCATTGAAAATTCTTAATTAGTGGAATAATGAAAAACACGATGAAGCCACGCATGGTGGTGCATCTGTAATTCTACCTACTTGGGAGGCCTAGGCAGGAGGATTGCTTGAGCCCAGGAGTTTGAGGCTGCAGTGAACTGTGACTGTACCATCGCACTGCAGCCTGGGCAACAGAACAAGATCTCATCTCTTTAAAAAGGAAAGAAAGAAAAAAAAGAAATGCATTGGTAATGGTACCAAAACAGATGTATAGACCAATGGAACAGAACAGAGGCCTCAGAAATAATGTCACACATCTACAACCATCTGATCTTTGACAAACCTGACAAAAACAAGCAATAGGGAGAGGATTCCCTATTTAATAAATGGTGTTGGGAAAACTGACTAGCTATGTTCAGGAAACTGGACCCCTTCCTTACACCTTATACAAAAATTAACTCAAGATGGATTAAAGGCCGGGCATGGTGGCTCACGGCTGTAATCCCAGCACTTTGGGAGGCCGAGGCAGGCAGATCACAGGGTGAGGAGATTGAGACCATCCTGGCTAACACAGTGAAACCCTGTCTCTACTAAAAATATAAAAACAAAATGAGCTGGTTGTGGCGGGCACCTGTAGTGCCAGCTACTCAGGAGGCTGAGGCGGGAGAATGGCATGAACCTGGAAGGCAGAGCTTGCAGTGAGCCGAGATCGCGCCATTACAGTCCAACTCCAGCCTGGGCGACAGAGCAAGACTCTGTCTCAAAAAAAAAAAAAAAAAAAAAAAAAAGATGGATTGAAGACTTAAATGTAAGACCTAAAACCATAAAAATTCTAGAAGAAAACCTAGGCAATACCATTCAGGATACAGGCATGGGCAAAGACTTTATGACTAAAACACCAAAAGCAATGGCAACAAAAGCCAAAATTGACAAATGGGATCTAATTAAACTAGTGAGCTTCTGCACAGCAAAAGAAACTATCATCAGAGTGAACAGGCAACCTACAGAATGGGAGAAAATTTTTGCAGTCTATCCGTCTGACAAAGGGCTAATATCCATGATCTACAAGGAACTTACACAAATTTACAAGAAAAAAAAAAACAACCCCATCAAAAAGTGGGTGAAGGATATGAACAGACACTTCTCAAAAGAAGACATTTATGCAGCCAAGAAACATAAGAAAAAAACAAGCTCATCATCACTGGTCATTAGAGAAATGCAAATCAAAACCACAATAAGATACCATCTCAAGCCAGTTAGAATGGCGATCATTAAGAAGTCAGCAAACAACAGATGCTGGAGAGGATGTGGAGAAATAGGAACTCTTTTACACTGTTGGTGGGAGTGTAAATTAGCTTAACCATTGTGGAAGACAGTGTGGCGATTCCTCAAGGATCTAGAACCAGAAATACCATTTGACCCAGCAATCCAGTTACTGGGTATATACCCAAAGATTATAAATCATTCTACTATAAAGACACATGCACATGTATGTTTATTGCAGCACTATTCACAATCGCAAAGACTTGGAACCCACCCAAATGCCCATCAATGATAGACTGGATAAAGGAGATGTGGCACATATATACCATGGAATACTATGCAGCCATGAAAAGGATGAGTTCATGTCCTTTGCAGGGACATGGATGAAACTGGAAACCATCATTCTCAGCAAACTAACACAGGAACAGTAAACCAAACACCACATATTCTCACTTGTAAGTGGGAGTTGAACGATGAGAACACATGAACACAGGGAGGGGAACATCACACATTGGGGCCTGTCAGGGGGTAGGGGCCTAGGGGAGGGATAGCATTGGGAGAAATACCTAATGTAGATGACGGGTTGATGGGTGCAGCCAACCACCATGGCACATGTATACCTATGTAACAAACCTGCACGTTCTGCACATGTATCGCAGAACTTAAACTATAATAATAATAAAGATGGCTGGGTGTAGTGGCTCATGTCTGCAATCCTAGCACTTTGGGAGGCCAATGCAGGCAGGTCACCTGAGGTCGGGAGTTGAAGACCAGCCTGACCAACATGGAGAAACCCCATCTCTACTAAAAATACAAAAAATTAGCCAGGCTTAGTGGTGCATGCCTGTAATCCCAGCTACTCAGGAGGCTGAGGCAGG